TCTATTACGTACGTCAGGCGGTGTCAGCACAGCGCTGCTGCACGGGGCACCCTGCTGCCTGGTGCTCCTGGGGACAGAAGGGAACTGGCCATGGTGACACCGAGGGCAGCGTTTCGGCTTGTGGGCTGCCTCTGGGACAGGCTGCTCTGGCCGAGGGCTCAGGGAGCGGGGCTGTAGTGTCACACAAGCCACCTCGTGTGTCCCCCATCACTTGTTTTCCCTCTGCGAGGTGTGAGCGGTGCAGTCTGGCTCTCAGAGGGGAGCGTGACCCAGCGGGGGGCTAGAAATGGGAGCGGAGCTGCCCTGATGCCATCTGTGATGTGCCCTGGGCTGGGGCTTGCTGCTACTGCTGGTCGGTGCCTCTCCTGCCCGTGTGCCGTGCGCTCGAGCCTGAGCACCCCTCGTGTCCCGAAGGTGCCCCCGGGTGGGCATTGGGTGAGGTTTGTGCGGTGTGCCGAGGGCAGAAAGGGGAAACTCTTTTCCCCTGGCAGTTGTGCTGGGGAAAGTGGGACTGAGGCAGCCCGGGAACGGCCTCTGGAATCGGGAGTGGGGCAGAGAAGTTAAATAAGAACAATTATTTGGTGTTAATAGTGCTGAAAATAGGGCAGTGTCCGACGCAGTGGTATCTCCTGCAGGTTTAAACGAACCAAGGGAAGCAGTGGGTCTGGTAAAGCGTGCGGGTGATGGGACTTGTTGCTGTGGGCTCTTGCTGGCAGAGGAAGGGGTTGGACAGCACTGGCTGTATGATGCCGTGGGCACAGCTGCTCTGCTGTCTGTGTAGCTGCTCCTGCTGCTAAAATACAGTTTTTGGACCAAAATGGGGCCCAGCCGCGTCCCTTGACTTTCACTTCAGTCACACAAACACAAGGAAAACCCCTTTCTGTGGGGGCTGTCCTGGATCAGGGAAGTCTGGCTGGTGGAGGGAGGCTGCTGGGGATTGCTCAGCCTTGCACATCTGCGGGGAGAAAGTGCTTCTCCCCAGAGGATGCTGCAGAGGCTTCGTCTGCTCACCTCCTGCATCCTGCAGTGCCAGGCCAGCTGGGGAAGATGGGCAGGGAGATAGGAAAGCTTTTGCTGTGATTGCAAGATGGGGTGCACGGACACCTGGTGTGCTGGAGGCAATGCTTTATCCCTCCTGCACTGGTGTGAGCCCCTTCGTAGCCACTGCGGAGGCTCCTGTGCAGGCTCTGGCTGGAAGCAGGGATGTGCCCAAGCTGCCTCCTTTCCCTGGCACCTCTGGAGCTCCCCTACCTCCAGCACTCAGCTCTGCTGCAGCTCGTAGGCCTGGAGCTCGTTTGCTAATGAGTCGCTGCAGCTCTCCCCCAGCCTGCACGCAGGCTCCCCTCCGCACAGACGCTTCTCCCTGTCTGCGGATGCTTTTCCCATTACTGTTCTGGCGGGGCTCCACGCACCAAAAGGGCTGGGGAAGGCACAAGCCAGCACTGCCCCCCTTCCCTTCCCTTCCCTCCCTTTTTTTTGTGAAGTGAGCGGGCCCACAAATGACATAATGAGAGCATGACATCAGGCTTGGCAGGCGGAGGCGTGCTATACTCTGCTCGACATTATACGTTCTGTGGAATTAAGGAGAAAAAAAAAAAACAGCAGTGCACCAAAAAAAGCCCATCCACCGCAGCGCTGCCGAAATAAACACCCCGGCTGCCCGGGGCTGCCGCGGGGACGTGGAGCCCCTGTTCTCCGGCCGCCCCCCGCCTGTCTCAGTGCCAGTGGCCGGGCTGGGGGCTCCCAGCACTGCTGCTGGTCCCTGCTGGTGGCTGCTCCAGGGCAGTGATTTGTACCCCTAGAAGTGATGGGCCCTGTCCAGGAGATGTCTGTGGTGGTGTCTGTGGTTGATGTTTGCTCACACTCCATCAGTGGGATGGGCTGCTGCTAGCCCTGTGCTAGCCCTGCTGCTAGCCCTGCTGTTAGCCCTGCTGCTCTCCCTGTGGCCCACGCAGCTCCAGAGAGGTTCAGGAGATTCTTGCCCAGCCCCGTGCAGGAATTGGTAGCAGAGCTGGGAAGGAGCTCCAGGCTCCCAAGGTTCAGGCAGACGCCCTCGTTACCAAATGTTCGCGTCTCCGCCGCTGCGCCTTCCCCACATGACCACTTCTACTTCCAGAAGTTTTCTCCAAACTTCCTTTGCTCGCCATGGAAGTGAAATGCGGCTGCGTTTTCTGGGGTGTTTGGGGAGCTGCACAGGGAGCTCTGCCCACAGGGCATCCTTCACACAGTTCTTGTGTTGGACCGAAGCTGTTGGTGCTTTTTGGTGCCTGTCCCAAGTTCTGCAGAGGAGTGGGCCAAGCTCTCCCTGCCTCCTCTGGCAGCACACAGCTCTGCTTTGCAGGTGTGGAAACTGAGGTGGGACCATGGAGCTGTGTCTGGCCCAGAGCTGCCCTCTCTGCGGGCACCACAGCGTGTTCTCTGTGCCACCCCCGGCACGACTGAACCACGATTTCCTTTCTTCTCGTGGGGGAGAGCGGCAGTCTGTGTGTGCGGCGCGTTTCAATGGAGAGCTTTGTTTTCTGCTGGCTTCAGCTCTGCCTGAACCTGCTCCGAATTTCCTCCAGCCTGGCAGTGGGCTGGGAAAATAGAGTCGTGGCAGTTTGTGGCACCGAAAGGCTGGGCCGCGTCCCGCAGCCTGTGCCGGGGGTTTTATTGGTCGGTACTTCTTTCCTGCCTTTTTCTTTTTTTTTTTTTTTCCTGCAGCCTACTTTGGTTCACAGCCATCTTTCGCATGCCAGGAAGGCATAATATTATTTTCCATACAAATTGGAGGGGGGGGAGCAGAGGGAGCCAAGCTGAGCCAGGCGGCTGGAGGTGGCAGGAGCTGGCACCGCCACCACCCCCGGCCTCCCCCCGGGGCCACCAGCGGGGCTCTGCTCCCCGTCCGGGGAGGTGGAAAGCTGGGAGGCCTTGTGCTGGTTCCTCATCAAATCGTGATGGCGAGGGTAGAAAACAGCAAAGGAATCAGGCTCCAGTCTGTACCTAACGGTGCGGGATCGCCTCCCCTCTGCGCTGCTCAGTGCGCACTGACATCTAGTGTCAGTCCGTGTGCCGTGTAAACGCGGCGCTGAGCTGGGGCTGCTGCTCCTGCTCGCATCTTCCCTGTTTGCTGGGGCTGGTGTCAGCAGCATGCTGCTCCTCCTGCAGCGTGGTGGCACCCCCAGGCAGGATCAAAGCTCACTGAGGGCTTGGGGCTGTGGCTTGGGGCTGGTCGCCTGCCTGGAGATGAAAATGAGAAGGGATGCGTGTAAGAGGCTTGGAAAGGCTCACGACTGACCCCTCCACACCTGCTGGAGAGGATGGATGGGGAGCTAGGGGAGCTGCTGGGGCAGCAACTGGGCCTGGTGCTGGTGTCCCAGGCCACCAAAAGGTCCCCAGCGCCATCGGTGGTGCTGAGGGCTTCGCCCTGCCCTGTGCACGCTCTCCATGCAGCCAGCCGGCCTTGTGAAGGGCTCTTGGAGACGCCAAAGCCCCGATTTTGTAACAGCAGGACGGTTTGTTCTGGAGGTTTCTCTTGTCTGGGCAAGGAGCAAAAAGGCCAGGGCACGAGAGACGTCGGAGCTGGAACACCACTTCCTTCTGTCTGGGGCTCGAGGTGCTGCCTAAAAATTACCTGGATTATTTTCAGGTTTCTCAGACGAGCAGAGAAAATGCTCTTTTTGTTAAAGCTCTGCCCTTGCTCACCTGACAGGTACACCGTGCTTCTGCAGCACAGTCCTGCTGGCGTGGCCCTCCTGCCCTAGGCTGCCTGGCTGGCTGACACATTTGCTAGCACTTTTTTTTTTTTTTTAAGTGTGTTTGTTGATCTTCTATTTTGCACATTTCTTGGCCTTCTTTAGTGGTGTTGCTGGTGAACTCTTCTGAATCCACTCTCAGCTTGGCAGAGAACTCCTGGACAGCAAAATTGGGAAAAATAAACTTAAACCTTTTAAAGAGACATCCATCCCTGTTACTTATCCCCAGAGTTTCCTGGAATCATAAGTAGTTCGTCTGCCAATTTGGCGTAATTCTCTTCATTCAGATACATTAAGTTTAAATACTGAATAAAATCAAGAATTAATCCATGAAGAGGTAAAAATAAGAGGTGAGACATGCTGAGAAGTTACAAGAGGTGCTAGGGATAAAGGTGAGCAGGGAGTGGGGTTGGAGGACGTCTCTGTTGATGCCGCGTGCCTGCAGCTGCGGGGAGCTGGGCAGCACCCCCAGACCTGTCCGCCTCCCCGCGGCGCTGCCAGAAATCCTGGAAGGAGAATCACCATTGCAAGGGCTTGGAATAAGTATTTTGGTGCTGCTAAAAGAAGGTTTTGGCCAACGGGGATTCATCTGAAACCGAAGAGTGAAGTTTATTGGGAACGAGCAGGGAGCAATCAGCGAAACTTTCACTTCTAGCTGAGTGACATTTTAAAATTGAAAGAGAGGACGTGAGGTGAAAACAGAGAGCTGAATAGGAGGACAAAAACAATTTTTCTTTGGATGACTTGAAGTCTATTAGTGTTACAGAGAGTGATTAAAGATTTTCTAAACGGTGTTTGTTTTATAGGGAAAGTCTAGCCTGATTTTAAACAGAAAATTTTCTTTGTTCCTTCATTTCTTGTACGCTTTTTCCAAAAGGGACAAAAAGATCTTTAAACATTAAAAGCTGAATGCATCAGTCGTGTAATTAATTACCTGTTCTTTGGCATTAGGGATAGACTTGAAAGTTCCTCTGAATTTTTCTTCTGTAAGTTAATTACTATTTTAGTCTAAACTCTTTCTTAATTATTTCTTTGAACATATAATAGACTTGCATACTTCTTTGAAGGATACCTCAAACTTGTACATTAGTCATGTCTGTAATTGCTCTAGATATGCTGTAGAATGGCATGCATTTAGTGATAGTCCCAGTCTTTATACACGCAGCATACAAAGCTGTGAGCAGCAAATGCTGTATAGCTGGGAGAGGCTATACAAAAATGACAAAAAGTTGAACAAAAGCTGACAGCTCTGTTCTCTTTCTCCAGGGATCTTTCCAGTAACGAGATCAGTGTTTTAGATGTTCAGACGTTCAGAAGCCTGACTTCTCTGGCAAAACTGTAAGTACATGCTGCACCCTTCCAGCCGTCCCGCTACCAGCGCGCCCCCTCAGCTGGTACCACGCACGCTGGTGCTGCACAAGCCAGCTTTGTTATTGCTTCACCTCAGCTGCTGGGCCCCAGCTGTGTGTCCATGGACTCATTCCTTGGGGCGTTCAGCTGCACAGTCCTGGGAATGACCGATTGCTCGCTGGCATTCGGAGTCAGGCAGGAGCGGGCACGCTGCACTGCCAGGTGGAGGGGGGATTGGGGCAGAAGAGTAAGCTACCTTTGTCACAAGATGGGTTGCAAAACAGAAAATGAGGATAAAGCTGTCCAAATCCCACTTAGCTTTGGAGGGAATTGGATACGAGGGTCCTTTGAGGAGCCCAGCGTTGGTGAAGCAAACGCCTGCCTGCATGTCCACTGCTCCCAACACCCTGCCGTGTCTCATCTAAAACTGCCCAGACTCCGTGTGGGCCAGGAGAAGGGGAAAAACCATTAGCAAACTCACTGAACAGGCTGCCCCGAGAGGCTGTGGAGTCTCCCTCCTTGGAGATGCTTAATGCCTGGACATGGTCCTGGGCAGCCCACTGCAGGTGGCCTTGCTTGAGCAGGGTTTTGGACTAGATGACCTCCAGAAGTCACTTCCAACCTAAAACACTCTGTCATTCTGTGACATAGCATCTCACAGAAAAAATTGCTATCATATGTAAGTAGCTCTTGAGACCAGAGGGGTTCAGAAGGTGGCCAGTCACTGAGCAGGGCTTGGAAGAGAGTTTGATCCTGTGTGTTGGCAAGGAAGTAGTTACCAGTGTGATGAACAATTACTGAGCTTCCCTTTTCATTTTTTACAGAGATATAAGCCACAACAAGATTTCTACATTAGAAGATGGAATATTTGATAATTTATTTAATTTAAGTGAAATGTAAGTTCGTTCTCTTTGTTTCCCAGCTCTTTATTGGGACCTTCCCTTGAAACAGCCCTTCCCTTTCCAGGGGGTGGGAGGCAGCACTGTCCTGGGAGGGTCAGGGCTACATACTGCTCCACCACACGTGGTGGCACACACTTTGCTATTTGTGTTAAGGGGGAACTGAAGCCTCCATCCCCACTAACCCCTGCAGCTCTGCCCGTTTGCCAGCTGCTCCCTTGGTGAGGTTTTGACAGTGCAAGCCTCATCTCTGTCTGTGACATTTTGAAAACTCATGAACCTTCGGAAACACAGAGCTGGTGGAGGGAGCCTCAGTTTGCTTGACTGCTCCTCTGCCGTGAAGGGATGAGGAGTGGATGTGCTGACTGCCACCTTCTCATTACCAGGCCTCCCTGATGCTACTTCTCCTCTCTCCAACTGCTGCTTCCTCGCCCTCCTGCAGTCTCTGCAGCTCTTTTCTGGACTCTCTCCAGTTTCTTCCTCAAGCTGCGTACTGCTCCTGGGTCTTCTTGGTACCCTTCAAGCCTAATCTCCTCCCAGACTTTGCTTCTGTCTCCTGGATACCTCCAGCCTCTGCTGCTGCCCTCTTGGTCTCCCTGCTTCTCTCCCACACCAGCTCTGCTGGAGGTGTCACAGTTTCTGGCCGTGCTCCAGGCCCCGCTCGCTGTTCCTGGTTGTGTGGTCACACACTGAGCCCGGGGACCTAATGCAAAGCTGCCACACAGCTGCCAAAGTCGCTTGAAGACACTTGGAGAAGTTCTCCCTAAGTGATTCAGGTTCTTATGCTTATAATGCTTTTTAAGTGAAGTAATTAAAATCCGTGCTGATACATGACGGGAGGCCAGGGAACGCCACACAGTTCCGGAAGAGGTACACAAAATCACAGCACAGAATGGGGTTTCTGTATCTGAACAACCCCAGGGATTAACCCTGTGCAATCGCTCTCAGCAAGCAAGAAAAAAGCTCGGCTCTGCACTCTCCATGAAGACTAAGACACAAAGAGCATTTTCAGCTCTGCATTTTTACTTGCAAATGGCACTGAAAAGACAGAAAGGATCCATGCTGTGTCCAAGTGAGCCTGTCCCTGCTGGGGCTGGCCTGCAAAGTGGTGCTTTCAGTATAAAAATCCTGGGTTCAGCCCCTGCGGCAGCCCAGCCCAGCTGGCGTCAGCTAAACAAACATCTTTCCATCTCTGTCCTGTTCGCAGCTGAATGCCAAAGGCTGTAATTTGGATCAAGCTTAGCTGCAATTAAAGTTTCCATCTTTTCATTAAACTGCCACATGGAAAGATTATCATTGACTTTGCATTTCTTTTTTGACAGATCAATTTTATTCTCTTAGCTATTTTTTAATGGAGCTGTAAATAGTCTCCCTTAGCTGCTGAGGCTGCCATTACATCCAACGGCTGTTAGATGGCAGACTATTTTAAATATAAGATTGTGTCTGTAATTTGCTTCTAATTGCAACAATTATTTGTGGAGTGAAAAAAGTACTTGGAGTACTTGCCTAATTCTAGCCTCTAGAAAAATCATGTTAATTATTGCTTGATTCCCTATTCATTAACTCCCCTAAGCAGTTCTTTCTGAAGCATTTTGCTGGAGTTGCGCAGATGGGAACAGTGAGGGATCTGCACATTGCTGTAATTAACACTTAGCACATGCTTCCCGTTGTCAAGTTAATGCACAACTTTTCTCTGATCTCCTGTTACAGAAACTTAAGTTGGAATCCATTTTTTTGTGACTGCAAACTTTCCTGGTTGCCCCGCTGGGTGGAAGACAGAAAAGTGACGGTTCTCCAGGCGTCAGATACGAGGTGTGCCCAGCCTCCTGCGGTGGCAAACCTTTCTCTCTTCAACGTTTCGTTCGTCAACACTACTTGTGGTAAGGAGGCACGGCGGGCTGTGGTGGGCGAGCTGACTAAACCCGTGGAAATGGTGGGCCTGAGGGGAGCTGGTGATCCCAGCTAGACCTCCGTATGCCTCAAGTCCCAAGTTCTAACCTAATTAAGCACATAATGGTAGCATGAGGCTGTACCTTGGTGTATAGTCGGTCACACCACGGCTGGGATCAGCAAATTCGTTACAGACCCAGCTTCAAGCAGCCCTCAGGTGGTGCTAGCCCCATCTCTGGCCTGAGGCTTTCGTTCTCTCATGCATTTAACAATCTGACTCTAAGCTGTGAAATATCACTGGAGTTGATGGGACTGGAGGACGTGCCAAGCTGAATCTTTGCAGGTGATGTTTCCTGGGGTAATTCAGTGTAAAGGGGATAGGCCAGGGAGAGCCTGCCAGCTGCTGGTACTGTTACTGGCCGGCAGGGAGCTGAGGAGCACAGCCAGGCTGGTGTGAAAAACAAGGTAGTTCCCACGCATGGCACCTCCTCGGGGGGACTTTTCTTCAGAAAAGCGGCCCAGCTCTTGCAGGAAGGCCGTGGAGTAGGCCGGAGGGTTGGATGGGGTGGATAAGGGAAGATCACGCGAGGCCAGCGCTGTGGAGATGTTTGGGGGAATGTTGTAGCAACCAGCAGAAACACGCAGGCAGCCCGGCTCGGCTGCGTGGGCAGAGCTGGACGGGAGGCAGGCGGCCCCAGCTGGGCTGCGGCTCAGCACCGCGTGCCTGGGGCAGGGCCCCTGCAAGAGGCTGGGGGGGGAGTGAAGCCCCGGGGGTGGGACGTGGACGCCTATGAATGCGTCCTTCTGCACCTCCTGGCTGCAGGCTGTGCGACACTGTCCTCTTCTCTAGCACCTCGTTTTGTCTGCAGGCAGGTGGGAGGCTCTCGGCTGTCCCAGGGCTGAAGGTGGCTGCAGTGTCTGCGCACCCAGTGTAGGCCTGGGGCACAGTCCCGTGGCATTTCCCCCGTGCCCCCAGTGTGCCCCTCTGCCCAGCTGTGTTTGGTTACGGGCTTGGGCTGGAAGTGAAACTGCAGCAGCCCAGCCACGGTGCTACCACGGCACAGCCTTTTCTCCTGGCACTGCTTGGGGGCTGCTCCTTGGGTCTCCTTTCAGACTCTGAGCGGCTCCATGGCCTGTGGCACCATCAGGCTGTACAAAGACTCCTGTTATTGAGCATTCCTGCTCCGTAAATCTATGGGAGTGGCTTTATTTCTGTCAACATTAGTTAGCAGAGAGAGATGGAAGTCATTGCTGAGGGATTGAAGACTGCCAGGCAAGACTCAAAAAGGTTGGAGTAGAAGCAGCCCACTCACCAGGATGCGGGGTGGTGTCTTGGAGAGTTTCATCAAGCCATGGCTTCATGGTGTCAGTTTGTAAGAGGATCTTCTGTTCTCCCCCCCAGGAGCTCAATATATAACGTGCCTGACAAGCAACCACACAGGTGAGGCTGAACTGCTCATCCTCTTCACGTCTGCTCACCCCGGGAACCTCACCAACGAGACCTGCAGCGCGCTCTGCTACGCCGAAGGCCAGGAATACGGAGGTTTCAGCACCCAGGGGCAGTGTTTGTGTGGTTCTGCCCATGAACCGAACTCTTCCTCCAGTTGTTTGCTGTTTTGCACTGAGCATTTGCCTGGGCAGGCCTGCAGTGGCCCATCACTCGTCCACTTTCACTTCAAGGCTCAGCTGTCTGTGTCTTTCACAGGACTCCAGCCCCGGTATGGCCTAGACCAGGCCGTGCTCTTCAACGTCAGTATTCCCATTGCCGTCAGCACTTTACAGTGGAATTTTGGGGACCAGACAGAGGTTCTCAACACCACTGGAAATGCAGTTGTCCACAGGTATGCCTTACCTGGGCAGTACAATGTCACCGCCACCGTCTTTGTGGGCGCCAGGTTCACAGACGTGCAGGCAGAAGTTGAGGTGGTGGCTTCGCCCCAGAAGTTAGAACTGCAGTGCCCTTCCCTGATCAAGACCAACGAGAGCCTGGACATACGGATCCGTAACAGAGGCGGCAGTGGCCTCACGGTGTTGTACAGCATCACGGCAGAGGCTGGAGAGCTGAGCAGAGGTAAGCGGGGCCGGCTGGGAGGCCAGAGGGTGCTGAGCAAGGGAGCACTGGGTCCTGAGGCTACCCTTGTCACTCCTTCCTAATGAGGAGTAAGGGGTCACTCCTTTGGTACTCCTTGCAGCCCCGTGTGCTTTACCCGGGCTGACCAAGCAGTGCTTTGCCCAGTGCTTGGCCACAAACAGGACTGCACAGAGAGCAGTTGAGCAGAGAATGGGATTTGCTGGCACCAGGAAGGGCAGGACCTGGTGCCTTGTGCCCCAGGTTAGGCTGGGGATTGTGGTCCCATAGGAAGGGCATTACACTTGTGTTCTTCTGCCTCTCGCAGCGGTTCACCCCATGTGTCCCCCCGATGGCTTGGTTTTCCCGGGCAACAACCACTGCTACCGGCTGGTGGTGGAGAAGGCCGAGTGGCAGGAGGCACAGCGGCACTGCAAGGAGCACAGCACCGGAGACCTGGCCTTTGTCAGCAGCCCTGAGATCCAGGCCTTCCTGGTCGCCCACGTCATCAGGTAAGCGGGGAGGACAAGGGTTAAGATTTCCTGGGGAGGGATGTTGTGTCCCTGGGGTTACATCTGCAGAGGTGTCTGGGGGGAAGAGCCCTGCAGCAGGCAGCCCTCTGCAGCCAGGTGGTCTAGGGGGACACACGGGTCTGAGCTGAGGGTGATATGGCACGGGGAGAAGCTGGGTGTGAGGGTGCTGAGAAAGGAGGAGGAATAAGCAGAGCTCGAGCCTTGCTGTACTTGGCTTCTTGGCGTAGAGGCTGTGGAGGGAAGAAGAGGGTAGAGGCAGAAAGACTGGAAATCAGAACTGGTGTCTGTGGGATTGCGGCTGGTGGGCATCTCGTGCCTGTGTTTGTGCCTCTGGGTGCCTCTCAACTGGGTCAGAGACATCCACGGGGTCCAGCACAGTCTGCAGGCAGCAGAGGGGGGCAGGTGCTGGTGGCCAGGAGGTGTTTGGCTGCTAGGCAGGGCCGGAAGGTGACCTTAGAAGCAGCTCCCTCCATCAGCAGAGCTACAGCTGGGTTGTCCAGCGCAGGACACCGGGACGTCCAGCAGCTGCTCCGGCAGAGCACAAGCCAGCGCTGTAATCCTGCCTCTCAGCTCAGAATCCCACATCCTGGACACACGGCTGCAGCCTGCAGCCCAGACCACATCCCCTCTGCTTTTGCATCCCGAGCAGGAGCAGCGCTCCTCTCTGAGCGTCAGGCTCCGGGAACATCTGTTCCACCTCAGCACTCGGGCTTTATAAACAGGCAGCGCTGGAGCGTCAGCCCTGGGCTACGTGGCCTCTCCAAGTGCCCTCTCTGCAACCAGAGATCTTGGGGGAAAGAACCCCAGCAGGGGAGCTCTGGGGGCCTGACAGCTCTTGTCAGCACTCCCAGGTGAGGATGTTGCAGATCCTGTCTGAATAAACATGGCCCAGAACGAACGTGCAGAGGGAACAACTGCACCAGACGTAGGATTTGAACAGACCTGCGTGAGGACTGGCAGCCCTTCTCCCCAAACGTGCATCCTTGCCTCGTTCCCTTCACATCGGGCTTTATCCTGAGGTTACAGATTTGGTCCCTGCCATGGGAAGAGGAGTCTGCCCCTTGCCGTGGGCTGGGAGCTGGTCACTTGGTGTGCTGATTTATCAGGCATTGCGTGCAAGGCTTTTGATGGACTGCAGTGCAAGGAAATCATGAGACCTCGGATTAGAGTGAGCCGCCCAAGCTGTTTCCCAGCTGCTGCCCCACATTGTTCTCCTCCCCAGCCCCCTTTATTTAATCTCTTTATTTTATTAATCCATTCAGATAAACATGAATGAGACAGTTCCAGGATGCGATTTCCCTGGTGATAAAAGACAAATCAAGCAAGCCGCAGGTTTTTGGAACATGCAGCTTCCATAGTTTCTTGTGGGAAAATGACAGAAGCTGAAATCTGTTTTCCATTAGAGCACGTAGCAGCAAGGACTGCTCTCTTCTCTCCTTCGCTCCTATCATTTGATGACCTCCCCAGGAGCAATGCGCACTGAACCAGTGCTGTCTCACCTCCAGAACCCACAGCCCTTCCAGGGGACCCTGTTTTCCTCCGATGCAGTGCAGGGAGTCCCTCTCCCCTTCCAGGCCTCCTCAGACTTCGTTCTACTCCTGCTGCCCCAAGGAAGGCAGCTCGTTCCTTCCTCGGAGGTGGAGGAGCACCCTCACCTTGCTTCAGATGAGGGTGTCTGGAGCCCCCTCATGGGTCTCTGCAAGGTTACGGGCCTAGCAGTGGGGCAGGGGTGGGAAGCAATCCATCCAGCCTTTTCCTTTCTTTTTTTTTTCTTTTTTTTTTTTTGATGACTTGAAGTTAGATCATAGCTGGAATTAGAAAAGGAAAAACTCGATCGGGTTTTACTGATGGCAGCAAACAGGCGGTTTCCTACCCATTCTCCCTAATCCCCTGCCAGTGGTTCGGGAGCAGAGCGGAGCGGCTATTTATTTTTTAATCTTATTTGCAGTGAAAACTACTGATTCACAGCACAGTTATTTTCGTCGTCGTTTTTCAGCATGACCTCATTAATCATTCCATCTGTCGTGAGCCCGGTGGTGGAGAGACACCAGTTACCTCCCCTGTCTGCTCCGTGCACAGCGGCTGGACCGGGCTGCAGCAGAGGGCAAGGCCACAGCAGGAGGGGCTGGGGAGAAAAAGTGGGGGGCTTGAAGGGCGCACGGTGAGGCTCTTCCCCCCGAGAAGTTAATATGGAACAAATGCCTCGCTTTCTGCTGGGTGCGATTAGAAACAGTCGTCCGGGCTGTTTGTGGCTATGAAAGACCATTCAGCACTTTCCACCAGGATCTCTGCTGGGCTTCATCCAGTTTCCAAATGTGGAAGGGCCATGTCATCTTCCTAAAATGGTCCTGGCGGTTTCTCTTGCATGTGGGGCTCTTCTTCCTGCAGTGCTTTGGCCACTGCTGCTGTGCGTTGCCCCCCCGCTGTGTTTGCTGCCTTTCGGTTGACTGAGGAGTGGCTGAGGAGTTTATTATCTTCCAACAGCTGCATCAGAGCTGAACAGGAGCTGAACGGGAGCTCTTGTAACTGGCACCATCCGAGCTTTAATCCTGCCCCACTGTCAGCTCCACTTGCAGTGGAGAAGCAACCAGTGGCAGATTCCACAGGTCCCCAGAAACCAAACGAGAACTTTCTAAAAGTTGCATCTTTTTCTCCAGACAGTTTTGTATGACCGTAAAATTCCTCTTAAGTCATGACTCAGTAAAAAAAAAAAAGTATCTGTGAAGGTCATTTAAACGGCGATGCAGGCAGGCTGCTCTAACAAACTGCTCTGCTAGGAGAGCCCTGAGGTTGCAGTCAGCCTGCTGAGCTGCCTGATGCAGCCAGCCCCACCAGCTCCTTCTCCCTCCCAGCTCCCTGGCAATGTACTGTTGGTTTGCTGGCTCTGTCAGATCCTTTGGGCTCTGCTGTCCCCTCAGCACATCAGAGGGCGGGTGGCTCTCTGCAGCCTGCACTACAAGGGCCTAAGCAGCTGGTGGACAGAATGGTGCACCAGGAAGGAGCTGCTATTAAAACAATAAGTGTTAGTGGCAGGATGGACTCTGAAATCCTTTCGTAACTAAAAGGCTCCTTTACATGCAGCTTCTTACACCCGGATGGAGCTGTTGTTGTTAAGATTATTATTTTCATAGAGGACCATAGATGGCATCTGTCCCAGATCTTTCTAATACTCATAATTTCCTGAAATCCACCCCCCCTTCTTCTTCTTCTTCTTCTTTTTTTTTTTTTTTTTTTGAAGGAGCCTCGATGTCTGGATTGCATTCAATGATTTTGCAAGCACTGGAGCGCAGCAAAGAGGCGAAGGATTTAATCTGGAGAGCTGTCAGAACTGGCTGCCAGGAGAACCGCATCCATCAAACGCTAATCACTGCGTCCGGATGGGCCCAACCGGGCAGTGTAACACGGACCTGTGCATGGCCAAGCACAGCTACGTGTGCGAGTACAAGCCAGCAGGTGGGCTCTGCTTCCCTCCTGCTCTCAGCTGACATCCCAGGCAGCCAGGTGTCCTGGTGGCACGTGCCAGAGAAAAATAGGGCTGCATGCAGGGGGCTGTCCAGACCATTGCCCCTTTACCAAGTGGCACGTCAGCAACCGCATTCCCTTTGCAAGGAATTTGGCCCACTCCAATCTGCCATCTATAGGCATAAAGAGAGAGGTGAAGCTCTGATGTGGAGCTTTGGAACGAGCTTCTCCCCATTATTTGAGCAGTCAGTGCTGCTGCCTCCTCTGAGGCTGTGGCACTGCTGCCTCGACTTATTTCTGTGCCATCTTGTAGTCTGAGAGATGTTGGGGTGCTATATAGGAATATATACGTGTCTATATATGATGGAGCCTTGGAGATTGTTAATGTGAGTCTGATTTGTTCAAATACTTGCTTTGTAAACAGGAGTTCTCTTAAATGCCGAAAACTTCCTTGTGGGAAACCCTGTGTTTGACACACACATGGCTTTGAAAAACGTGACAGAAGACGTGCTGTCAGCTCCAGTGCAAGCTGGGGAGGTAAGGAGGGTTTGCTCATCCTATTGCTGCAGAGATGGTCCAAGAAGACACGGGTGGGTGAGAGCCTTGCTTCGTTTTGCAGGTGATGGTGTTCCCTGACCTGGCGTTCGAGCATGAGGGGTATTTGACTGCCCTGGAGTTTGTGACACAAGACCTGCATCAGCCCGTTCAAGTGAGGTTCCAGGTGCACAGACCAATAGATGGAGAAGGTGAGACATCTCCTCTCAACACTTCAGCTCAGAGGTGGTCCTGGAAAAGCAGTGACCAGAGAACAGCTGAGCAGCTAAATAATGGCTCTTCATCAGCTGTGGCCATGTGGATGTGGTGGGTTAGCAGTGGGGACTGGAGTCTGGGCTGGCAGCTGTAACAGGGACAGTACAAAGGGACAAACTCGGCAGACTGCAGTGCTGAGAATGTCTCCTCTCCCATCGTTTTTGTGGCAGAAGTCCTAAAACAAAGAAGCACTTCTCTTATTCAGAGACCCCAGGGTGTTCCCAGTTATGCCTGTGGTTATCCCTGCTTAGTGAAAAGGCCTCTCCTGGACCTGCGTGTGAGGATGGTTCCAGGCATGTCTGTCCGCCAGCCCTGACTTAAAGCAGAACGTTCAAATTCGACATCAAATGCAGAGCTGGTAGTTACAGGGCCTTGTGTTTCTCCATTTAATTTAAGCTGACCAGCAGCTGCCACTTAGGAATGATGCTCCTTCCCCACAAGGACCCCAAGCAGTTTTTTATGGCTTTGTTACCTGTCTCCGTGCCTGAGGAATGATGAGAGTGTACGGAACACACGTAGGAGGGAATTAATCTTCTGAGTTATACTTTAACACTTTGGGAAGACATGACATGTCTAATGGAACGTGTTCTGGTCCATCTGGCCCCGCAGGTTAATGAGGAAGAGTATTTTATTGAGCCCATTTGTTCCTGATGGATGAGATGATCCAAAAAGCCCTTTACTCCTTGTACAACAGCTCAATACTCACAGTTTGGCAACAATTAATTTTGCAGGCAATTCTTTGCGATAGCCATATATTTGGCTGATTACGAAAGGATATTTTTTGACGCTGAAAAACTGATACTTTAACATGGAAACATTAACTTAAGAAAAGTTACTTAATGTGTTTTCAGCCTCAAAGCCAGCTCTGCTTTTGCTTGGAATAGCTTTCTCCTGAACACAGATCTCTTTTAGATTGCGAATTGGCGCATTCTCACTGGAAAGGAGACTGACTTTGTTTTAAACAATCTTCCTGCCTTTGTGAAATTTTCCAGTAAAACAGGACACTTTTGACTTACGTAGCACCAGGATGCATCGCAGTTGCAGCTTTTACTAAGGCTGGAGTCTTCATCAGTCACAGTGGGAAAAAATATGGTGAATTTGGAGCACCACAGAAGTGCACTAAGAGTTGCCTGGTAGGACAGTAATCTTTGCTTCCTCTTTCACCTCTTCCAGATTACCAGGAGGGACAAAATGCTACAGAACCATTCCGTACTTCTCAGGATGATGGGAACTGGACTCTACTTGAATGTCCTCCTGGCTTCCAGTGGTGTCATTTGACTGATTTGTGCTCATCGGCAAACAACTGCTGCAATGCGACAGAGTGCACCAACAGCTCTCTTGCCAGCAGCCCCACGTTCCTTCAGCACAATGAAAGCCAGCCCAGCTATCAGCTCATCAAGGAGTTTCTCTTCACAGTACCAGCTGGCCCTTCCTCCCCCTACCTGGTCAGTGTTTATTACTGCTGCACCTTGTGGGGAGGTGGGGAGGTGGCTCTGGGTGCTTTGTGTAAAGTAAGAATTGTTCCAGGTTTGCGGATGGAGAAGCTGAAGTCCATTCAGATGAAGTGACTTGCCCAGGATCACCAAGGGAATACTTGGCAGGCCTGGCACAGGGCTCACACCACCGCTGTCTGTTTTCCTCCCTGCAGTAACAACCTAGTGCAGTCAGCTAAAACACTGTGCAGCCTCTCTGCTATCCCCATTGCACTTAGGAAGTGCAGATAGAGCACAGAGCCGAGTTCCTTGTTAGCACATGACATTTTTGATTTAAAGTGGCCAAGGAGAGCAGGGTGGTGAAATATTTCCCCACGCAGTGTTTGGATCTGTGGCTTTTTTGTGGGTTTCCCTTCGGCAGTAAATCCAGCCGTTTTGCCCAGGCAAGAGTTGGGTGCTGAGCGCTCCAAACTCGATACATCAATCCAAAAACATCTCGTCTCTCTGCAGGTCACGTTCAGAAACGAAGATATTTTTGTCAGGGCCAAGGATGTCTTCAGCATCCAGCACAGCGCAGGCCTGGGCTCGTTCCTGCAGTGCCAGCCAAGCCCCACATCCCCTAATAAAACCAACTTCTTCAGCACAAATTCTTCAGACTGGGCATTCGGGCTGTCTGCCAGCTCCACCTCGGCCACCTGGATCAACGACACGGTTTGCTCTCTCCGCGTTCGCTACGCCGAGGAGCAGCAGGTCCCAGTGATCAGCCCCCACAACACGGGGCTGGAGCAGCCGGGGCCCTACACGCTCAGAGCCAGCGTGGACAACGGCCCCTTCAGCGCCAACCTCTCCTGCACGTTCTGGGTCACCTCCCGGGTGTCGGGTCTGCGCGTTGTCCACCCGGCTCCGCAGGGGGGCAAGGTGTACGTGCCCTCCAACCACACCTCCCTGCTGGTTAAGCTCTCCTCGGGTGCCAACGCCACGGCCCGCTGGCTGGGTGACAACCACAGCGTGCCCTTCAAGGGGAGCTGCCCCACGGCTGTGGCTCTGCTGACGGCCGAGTGCGCCAGGGACACCAACGACACCTGGTTCGCCGTGCTCAGCCTGAGCGGCCTCAGGGAGGGGGCCAGCAGCCACGTGCTGGTGGCGGAGAACGCCGTCAGCTCCCAGAACATCACCGTCGTAGTGAAAGTGGAGGAGCCCATCCGCGGGCTGAGGGCCACGCCTGACCCTGAGAGCAGGGTCCTGCTGAACACGCGAGTGGTGAGTGGCTGCCGCTGCTGTTAGTGATGGTTTTTAGCCTCCACTGCTGGCGGTGTGGGTTTGAGAAGAGGAGGGCTGGGGGTCAGGGCACAGCCCTGCTTGCTGCTAAGCGCTGGCTCGTGGGCCATGCAGTCAGCGCTGCTGCTGGGACGTGCATGTGGCAAACCCCACTGCTGCTCGCAGGCAGGAAGGCAGCTCAGCTGTGTGCTCACTGTAATTCCCTCAGTGGTAAGGCAGCACGCAGTGTCAGGGGCATACTGGCTTTGTATTTGCTCAGGGGATCGCTCAGAAAATTGATGTATTATCAGAGGCCAGCGATTACCTCCTTTTGACTTGTTAAGGTAGTTATTCTTGTAGGCATTTTGATTTGCTCTACTAAATCCTTACACCAGCCTGCTGAAGCTATAGGCATGTTTCACCCATCCATCAAAGTCTTGGATTGCTCTGGTGTTTGCAGTCTGTTTTTTTTTTCCCCCTCAAATCTGCTGTCTCCAGAACTACAGCCGAGCCCTAGGACCCTGTTTAAGAGCTGCCCGTTGATAGCTGTGAAATGCTGTGTTCAGCTTCTGGCTGCTTGTGGCAGAACCTGGTGCCTGCAGTGCCTTCTGGTCTCACCCTCCCTAGCTGCCACGGTGTGCTCAGGAGGCACTGGAGGAGGGAGGAAGAAACTCTGCCCCATCAGCACAAGGCAACCACCTTAGCCTTTGGGGCAGGCAGCATCCGTGGACGAGAGTCAGAGACTGGGGTTGCAGGTGTAGGTGAAGCTGAGTTGTTTCTATAAAGATTTCAGAAATGTTTTCAGCCAGCAAGGAGACCTGATGCCCAGAGCAGAGCGTTACAGTGTGGGAGCAGGCAGTGTGGCTTCTGCTCCCAGCTCTGCTGTTGGTTTTAGGGTCGGGGCGTGCAGTGCCCTGTCGGTGACACGGCTGCAGATGGTCTTGCACCCCCATGCTGTGCTCTGAGAGTGCTGTCCGACTGATACGTGATGCCTCCCAGCCTGGCTCTGTTTCTTCTCCAGGTCATCTGGAGATCTCCTGGGAAGCACTGTGAATGCTTTTCCCTTGCACTAGTGTAAAATGTCCTCATGCCTTTCAGAGCTACGTCCCTGTGATGGAAGCCGGGTCAGATGTGACTTTCCGATGGACGGTAGATGATAAGCCATCTTTCACTTTTTACAATGTTGTCTTCAACGTTATCTACCAAAGCCCAGCTGTGTACAAGCTTTCGGTAAGCTAAGGCCTTTCCCATAATACCCTTTTAATCCTGGGTTTCCATTTCATCCCGCAAACTAAGCAGGGAAAGCAGCAGGGAGAGGAGAAGGCAGAGGTTTCTGCAGACAGGGTGCTGGGGCTGCCCTTGGCATGTTCAGTTTTAGGAGTCCCCCATCCCCACACCATGTGCCTGGAGCTGCTCACCTGCAGCTGTCCTAGGGACACTGGGTGGTTCTTGCTCCCTCGGTGTCTGCAAGTCCCCGTGCTCAGCAGCTGGAAAGAGCACGGGGCACACAGAGCAGGCAAAAGGATGGCAGGGTCAGGGCCAGAGGAGCGTCGGGATGAGCAGCCTTTCTGTCCTCCTGCTGGCTAGAACCAGCCCTTCCTTGGGCTAACGTAGTGGTGGAGGTGTGGTGGGTCCAGCAAGAGGAGGCTGTGCCAGGTAGGGAAAACCATAAACCTTCCAGTTCATGCTGCTTCCCAGTGCCATTCAGGCCATTGCTTCTGCCTCCCTGTCCCCCAGGCTGCTCTTCTCTGACCTCCCCTGCCTGCCTGGGGCAATCTCTCCCCTGCGGGGAAGCCCCTCTCTGAGCAGGGGGCAGCCCAGCACGGTGATCCCAAATGCGTTCTTTGTCCCACTGTCCTTCCCAGCTCACCGCCTCCAACCACGTCAGTAACTTTACGGTCAACTACAACGTCACAGTAGAGATGATGAACAAGATGAAGAACCTGACTGTGCTGGGTGTCCTGCCTGTCCTCCCCCAGAACAGCTCCGTGGAGTTCACAGCCAGAGTCCAGGTTGATTCAGCCGTGGATGCTCTGTTCCTGTGAGTCCTTTGCAAGTTGCCAACCTTAGGGTTTTGCTGTGCATGACTTACCGGCCTTCCCTACATTAGGGAACTCTTCTCAGGGCCAGTTGATTTCCAATGTCTCCATCTTCAGCTGCTGTCTCACTGATTTGAAATGCAAACTGCTGTCTAGTTAATCCCTGGAAGGGATTCAATGACACTAGCTGGGACCTTTACTTCAAGCCTCAAATACTTTTAATTTAAACGTTTGCAATACTTCTTCAGTGTTTAGTTCCCTCTCTTACCAGTGCTGTGCTCTGCTCACAGCCACGGTTATGCAGCATTGGCCCAGCTACTTCTTTGGTACTTGGCATTACAATTCCTGTGTTGTTTTTTTTTTCCAAAAACCCCAGCCCTGCATCTGAAAGACCCAGGCTTGGGGCTTGTGTGGAACGGTGCAACATGGTCTGTGTGTTTCTCCAGGTGGGATTTTGGAGATGATGTCCAGGAGACATACCAGTTCAAACCTCCCTACAACAAGTCTTTCCTTGTCCCTGATCCCAGCGTCCATGAGGTTGTAATCGAGCACAATGTCACACACGTCTATGAACACCCAGGTAAGCTCGGGCTGGTTCTCTGTGGAAGAAGGGACTCAGATGTATTTGTTGGGGGGGTCACAAGGTGTCTTCAAATAAAATGGCTTGCTCGTTCTTGAACAAACTGCCAGAGGAACTGGAAGTCTCTAGCAGCTTGCCTTATTTTTCTGCTCTCTTCCTCTGCAGGTGAATACGCTCTGATGGTTCAAGTATCAAACCAGTTTGAGAACCTCACCCACTTGGTCCCAGTTCACATCCACAGTTACCTGATTGATGTGAAGATGGAAGCAGAGGAAGATGTTTTGGTTGTGAGCCGTCCGGTCACCTTCAGAGCTACTGCACTGCCGTCCCCTTACGGTGTCTGGTACACCTGGGACTTCGGGGACGGCTCCTCACTGTTGACAGTGAGCCAGCCTACGGTGACCTACAGCTACTCCAGAAGAGGGGTCTACAACATCACCGTGTCCGTGAACAACACCATAAGCAGTGTGGAGACAGTCGAGTGTTACCAGGTGTTTGAAGAGATAACGGGGCTCAGCGTTTCTGTAGATGAGGCAGCGGAGCTGGGTGCAGCGGTAACTGTTAATGCTTCGGTGCAGACAGGGGACAGTATCACCTGGATATTCGATATGGGGGACGGGACAGTGCTGAGGAGCCAGGTGCCAGTGGTTGAGCACGTGTACACAAAGGACATCAACTGCACCGTGAACGTGACAGCTGTGAATCCTGTGAACTCTGTCTCCCAGAGCGTTCCTGTTCGGATATTTGTCTTGGAAGTGCTCAGAATAGACCCTACTTCTTGCATCCTTGAGCATCCAGATGTGCAGCTCACTGCGTATGTGACGGGGAATCCTGATGAATACATCTTCGACTGGACCTTTGGAGATGGCTCATCCAACATCACAGTCAGCGGGGACCCTGTAGTGATGCACAACTTCACCCGGAGCGGGACGTTCCTCCTCTCCCTGACCCTCTCCAGCAGGTTTAACAAGGCTCATTATTTCACCAGTGTCTGCGTGGAGCCTGAGATAGTCAACGTCACGCTTCTCCCTCCCAAGCAGTTTGTGAGGCTTGGTGAGGAGAGCAGCTTCCAGGTCAGTGCCATGCCCCCCTACCAGTACCGCTACCGCTGGGATTTTGGAAACAATGAGTCCACGAGGTCGAGTGGGACTGAAGTCACCTACACCTACAAGAACACAGGGGTCTTCCTGGTCACAGTGACTGTCTCCAACAATGTCTCTTTCAATAACGATACGGCATTTGTGGAAGTCCAGGAACCCGTTGGGGTAGCAAAGATTGAATATAATGGGACAAGGGTGTTGGAGCTGAACCAGATCTACCTGTTCTCTGCCAGCATGAATGGGACCAAAGTGAATTACTTCTGGGACTTTGGAGATGGCACTACCCAGCCTGGCCAAATCACCACTCACTCCTACAACAACACAGGCCATTACACTATTGGTGTGACAGGCCGGAATGACGTGAGCTCCAATGAGACCAGGATTGAGGTCACGGTGAAACGGCGGCTTCAGGGGATTACCATCAATGCCAGCAGGACAGTGGTGCCGTTAAATGGCTCGGTGAGCTTTGTGTCCACACTGGTAGCTGGCAGTGCCATCCGCTACTCTTGGATCCTCTGTGACCGGTGCACTCCCATCCAAGGCTCCTCCACAATTTCCTACACCTTCCGCTCCGTGGGCACGTTCAATGTTATCGTGACAGCAGAGAACGAGATCAGCTCGTTGCAGGACAGCATCTACGTCTACGTCCTGGAACAGATCGAAGGCCTGCAGGTGGCTAGCAGTGACCTGGTGGAGGATGTCTACTTCCCAACAAACAAAACGCTCCATCTGCATGCAGTGGTGAGAGAGGGGACAAACATCTCTTACAGCTGGGTAGCCCAAAAAGATGGCCATGCCGTGCAGACCTTTACAGGGAAAACCTTTTCCTTGAACATCCTAGAAGCTGGGAACTACACCGTCTATCTGAAAGCCACGAACATGCTGGGATGCGCAACTGCTAACAAGACACTGGAATTCATCGAAAGCCTTGGTGTTTTAAAGCCTTATGCCTTCCCCAACCCAGTTGCCATTAATGCCTCTGTTAATATAAGTGCCACCATAACCAGCGGCACTGGTATTACCTACGTTTGGTACCTGGAGGATGGCTTCTCTCCCGTTACATCTGAACCCTTCATTATACACTCCTTCCAAAGCCCTGGAGCTATGGAGGTCATCGTTGGAGCAGAAAACAAGCTGGATTCGACCAATGCAACAATTTATGTCTGTGTGGAGGAGGTCATAGAGGGGCTGAGTATAGGCACTGCGGAACTGGACTGTAGGTATGTCTCTTCAGGCTCCACTGTGGTCTTCGAGGGGGAGCTGCAGAAGGGGACTGAAGTGACGTGGCTTTGGGAGGTGCCAAATGGCACGTTGACAGGCCAGTCCGTGGCAGTCACGTTCCCCACAGCAGGCTTTTATACCGTCTATCTGAATGCATCAAATGACATCAGCTGGGCTCTGGCCAGCAGGAATATCTCCGTGCTGGACAGGATTCAAGGACTGGAAGTGCTTGCCAGCAAGAAGGTGGTGGAGCCAGGAGAACAGGTCACCTTCATCATCAGGATGGTGTCGGGGACCTCAGTGAGTTACTTGGTGAGCATAAGTGGGGACTACTCTGTGGTGCTCAACGGGTCCAAGTACACGCATGAGTTCACCAAGAGCGGCGATTACTTGGTGACCGTGACCGTGCAGAACCAAATCAGCATCGCTCATGCCCAGGTGCTCATCTCCGTCCTGGAGGCCGTCCGTGATGTCAGGCTCCTGAACTGCTGCGAGCGAGGCGTGCCCACGGGCACGGAGAAGAGCTTCAGCGCCCAGGTGGGGAGCGGCTCCCGCGTCTCCTTCTCCTGGCAGTTCTCCCTCTGGAAAGAGCAGGGCCGCTCCGTGGTCACCATGGCAGGAGAGAGCGTTTCCTACACTCCAGAAGCTGCGGGGCTGCTCGAGATTTACCTCCGTGCCTTCAACGACTTGGGAGGTGTCAATATCACCAGAACCATCCAGGTCCAGGACCCGATAGTCCACGTCTCCCTCACCGCCTCCAATGCCTTTGTCAACAGGACAGCGCTGTTCGAGGCCGTGGTGGTGCCCAGTGCCAGGGGTGTGGAGTTCCTGTGGACCTTCGGGGACGGCTCTTCCACCCAAACCACCAGGGTCGCGGTGGCCAACTATTCTTACCTGAGCCCTGGGGATTACCTGGTGGAGGTGAACGCCACCAATCTCATCAGCTTCCTCACGGCCCGCCTCACCGTGACCGTCAGAGTTCTGGAGTGTGAGGAGCCAGAGGTGGAGCTGGCCTTGCCCCCTCAAGTCGTGATGAAGCGGTCCCAGAGGAACTACCTGGAGGCACAGCTTGACCTGCGGGGGTGTATCAAGTACCAGACGGAGCACCTGTGGGAGATATACCGGGCACCCAGCTGCCTGAGCCTGGACGAGTCCAGCAGGATCTATCTGCCCAACGTAGATGTGAACAGGCCGCAGCTGGTTATACCAAAGCTTGCCCTGGAAGTCGGGAACTACTGCTTTGTCTTCATCGTCTCCTTTGGAGATACCCCACTGTCCAAAAGCATCTTTGCCAACGTGACCATGATACCAAGTAAACTGGTCCCAATCATTGATGGGGGCTCATACCGCGTGTGGTCCAACACTCAGGACTTGATCTTGGATGGGGAGAAGTCCTACGACCCGAACTTGGAAGATGGTGAACAGACTCCGCTGTTTTACCAATGGTCTTGTACGTTCTCCTCCAAGGTAAGAGAACGTTTTTGCACAGCCACAGAGGGTGATAATCTGGGAGCTCCAGCTCCACATCAGCTCCACTATATGAGCTAGTGTCTGGGTTGAAATGGTGGCAAGGGGAGCTTTTGTCAGCACCTTTAGCAAAGCTGCTCAGGAAGGAGGGTTGCAAAGATTGCCCAATTCCCAGCTCAGGGTGGTGGTACAAAGGTTTTGGGAGGAGCTGTGTGATGCAGCCTGCAGCGTGCTTCAGAAGCGTTTGCACTGGAAGCTGAAGCATTCTCATTGCTGCTTCCTTTGGACTTGGCCTCTGCTTCATGTTTTCAGTGTAGCTGCTTCCATAACCTGGAGCAATTACAGAGCTGCTGATTGCAGTCCAAGGAGCTGAGGGCTCTGGTCCCTCTTCCATGAACAGTCCAAAGGTCTCTGATAGCAGCAGGGGCCAGCGTTGGACTTCAGAGGAGGCAAGTCCCAAGGAGGTAGTCCCAGACGAGTCTCTGTGCCTGTCCTCCTGGCACACTGAAACGATCTGACACTGTGGTGGTAAAAGGGCAGAGAGAGTTGCCGTTCAAATTGTCATGGGAGATCCACCTGGGGAATATTTTTCTAATTGAATGCAGGATTGTTTTGCTTGTAAAAGAGCATTGTTTTCTGTCTTTACAAAGTAAAAAAACGTGAAGTGTGTGTGGATTAGACTTTCAAGTTCAATTTGACGTTTTTTGTGTTGTTTGGCAATGTTTATAAACTTTAATTCATGAAAAGTTAATCGCTATCAAATAAGAATTTGGAACTCAGATGAAATACAAGAGTGTTCTAAAAACTTCTTACTAACCTGAAGAATAGGATGATGTGCTTTGTTATCCACACCACCCTGTTGCTCCCACCCCGGCGGTGGCGTTGCGCAGTAAGGTCTGTGGCAGTGATTTGGCTTGGTGTGGGCCTGAATGTTTTGGCTGTGGACTAACCCGACGTGCACCCGTACCAAGGAGGGTTTGAAAGTTCTTTTCTCCTTGCAAGCAGAGCTCGGCTGCAGGGTGCTCTCTGAATTTCAGTGCCAGTGGAGGAAATGTCACAATTCCCAAAGCTGAATTAGAAGCAGATGTGGAGTACACGTTCAACCTCACTGTCTGGAAGGAGGGCATGAGTCCCGAGGCAACAAATCAAACCGTACGTACCACAGAACGCTGTCACTTTCTGCCTTTGTGCGCCCGTTGCTGGGCACAGCCATGCTGGATGTCTGCTGGATGTCTGTTCTGGTCTGTCTAGAGCCTTCCAAGGAAGAACCAGAACCTTCTGAGGTTCTGTTTCCAAGGTCCCAAGGTCTCCTTCCCTGGCCTGAGCCAAGAGCCAGTGCCAGTCCCATGAGGGGCTGTGGAAGGCTCCGCTATCAGAAGTGCAGGGGAGGGAGATTTTAGGACATCGCTGGGGCTCCATAACCAATCCCACCCAGGTCATTGGCAGGAACAGACACTGGTATTTCCGTGATATATTCGTCTATGCTGCCTTGGGCAGCTCTTTGTGCCTGTCGTGCCAAAGCCCTTTGAGCTTCTTCCTTCCTGCGGAGCTGGGGTTGGTCTCGCTGTGCAGCCTGGTGTTAGTCACCCAGCCCTGGGCTGCTGCCATTCCTGGGACCAAGAGGCAGCAGATCTGTAAGAGAACAGCAAAGCAGCCCATGGTCAGTCGCTGTTCCACTCTGTGTGCAGTCCCGGGCCCTTCACACGTCACGTTTCTAGGCTCTTCCCTGATTTTTACCCAGAGAGAGCTTCCTAAGAGTTGGTCCTTAATTTCACTGTCAACAGTTCCTCTCTTCTCTCCTTCTGAATTTTTTTAAGGGAGGGTTTTTAAGTGCATGTTGTTTATGTCAAATTAAGCCCAACACTGAATGCATCTGCAGTCCGACAGCAGTTATGGTTTATGTCAGAAACATTCATCGTGGTGTGTTTGGCAATTAGAGATATAGTTAGTCTGAAAATGGAAATTCTTACTGCCTGGGTTTTAAACCAAAGCTGGAGGATAAAAAGAAAAAAATTAAATTGATAGTCTTTCAAGGACATTCCGTACTATCTGGTTTCCATGCATGAGCGCAAAACAATGATTCCAGTGTCATAGGAAATTTGCAAATACTGGAGGAATGAATGAAGCTTCAATGCACTCAGGCTTAATGCTGCGGAATATTTATCCCCTTTTAAAAGTCTGCCATACTAAACAGTGTCTTCACTATTGTCTTTCTTTGAATTCGGAATATTCATTATGCCGGGGCAGAGGGCTCTGGCCCCTGCTAGATGGTCCTGCTTCCTAGGGGATTAAAGGCATTTGGACAAAGAACCGGGCAGAGCTCAGCAGCCATCGTGTCTGGAGACCGGTGCTTCTGAAGCTTTCCTCCCTCGGAGTGCTTTGCCGGGGAGCTGTGATGGATGTCTTGAGATGTGCAGCTTAGATCAGAGACAGAAGTCCAGAATAAAACCCTGCTCTATGGAAAAGGAGAGCCTTCCACCTGCCGAGCAAGGAGCGCTTGATGCACAGCAGGACTTGCCTCTAGCTAATTTTGCCACCGTTCCTGTCTCTCCGGGACAGAGCTGTGCCAGGAGTGCTCACAGCACTCCAGAGCCCATGGGTGCAGGCTGCTGCCAAGCTTGGTAGCTGAGAGCAGGAGCTGGGGAGGCAGCCTGGGGGGACCAGGCACTGCCTTTGCAGAGGACATCCTCAGTTCACCAGGCTCACTGGCTTGCTCTGAGCCCTCCGTTGTTCTGTAAAAGCTTCCTGTTAAGCACCCTGTTGTGCCGAGGACAGGAACCCACAGCCCTGCACTGTGTGCACCGCAGAAGTGTGTGATCCCTCGGGGTCAGGCTCTGCACAGCTGCAGAGGCAGGGCCAGAGGTTTGGCCCCCAGAAAACAAAGGAGAGTTGCAGTTGCTTCCTGGAGCAGGTGCTCACCAGATGTTTGGTCTGCGTTATAATGGAGGCTTTCCTCCTTCCATTTAGACTTCGCCTCTTTTCCAAGCTGTAGTGCAGATCTCTTTTTTGTAGGGCTGAGACCTGTCCTGCAATGCTCAGAACAGCAAAGTGCTTCAGGTAGCATCATCCCCACCCTGAATGGCAAGTAGGACTCACTGGGAATTCAGTATGGGGTACAAGAGGAGCATTTTGAAAATGATTCATGTTGAAAAATGCAAATAAAATAAACCCAGAATTTCCTTGATGGGCCCAGCTTGGTTTTGGGTGGCTCTTGAAAATCAGTGGCAGAACAACTCACCTCGCCCAGCATAAGAAAACTGAGGTAGCTGAAGTCTGACCTGGGATCCTTTGGAAATCCCTCTCTGCTGTCCCCTTAGCACAGAGTGGGCTGGTGCAGAGCAACTCCTGCTTGGAGAGCCAGGTGCTGGGATGGCTGCTTGCTGGTTAGGTGTCTGTATTCTTGCCCCTCAGCCTCTCAGACCTCCTGACGGAGCCTCTTGTTTTCCCAGGTGTTCATCAAGAGGGGAGGAGTCCCTATCGTGTCCCTGGAGTGTGTTTCCTGCAAGGCTCAGTCTGTCTACGAAGTCAGCAAGAGCTCCTACGTGTACCTGGAGGGGACCTGCCAGAACTGTCACAATGACTCCAAGCTCGGGGTAAAGCCATCCGCAACGCTGGTTGTGGTAGACTTCAGGGAGAACGGGGCAGTCCCAGAGGTCGGGGTGGAAAGACTGAGTCCCCGGGCAAGCTGTCTGAGCTTCTCCTTGCCCGAGGTTGTTCCAGCTGCATCCTGAAGGAGACAGCTGTTCTGGTGGGCCCGCAGGTTGTGGGACACGTGCCCTCTTAGTGCTCCATCAATGTCTACCCAAGGGGGGCCTTGCTGAGTTATTTTCAAGCCAAGCCTATGAATGACCAGACCTTTTTATGCAAAGGCTACGTTTTTTCCTGTAACAGATCAGAAAAGTGCTTTTACCTCCCTGCTGGTTGGCATTTCACACGCTGTTCAGGTGGTTCAAGCAGAGGTTGCTCGGTCCCTCATGCTCTCCTTTAATTACAGATTCCACTACGCAGCGTCTCTGCAACCTGTTGAATGAAACAGGTCTTGGAAGTGGAAGTCCCTCTGTGAGAACTAATCTGTATTTCTCCCAGCAAGGCGAGCATGTACTTGCATGGCATTTGCTGGCCGGCTCTCTCAGCAATCCTCTTGTTATCACAATTGTACATTTGTGCTATTAACAGTAATCATCCAGGACACGTTCAGCTTACAGCATATAAAACATGGTATCCCGTGGAGACTCCACCAGTACTTAATTTATTTCCTGTGTTTTGTATTCTGTATTATGAAATATTCTGTCGGAGGATGATGTAATCCCAGAGACTAAAGCAGATCTCACAGTGGAAATATTCCCACCAGACATTTTGGAAAGGTTCCAGTTCTTGTTGCTGTAGCACACGAGACTAAAGCTGAATTATCAACTGCAAATTTGGCAGACGCTCCCACTAGAAATCTGTTACTTTTTATAAGAGACTCAATCTGAAAACGTTTCGGGGCATAACTTCAGATTCAAACAAAACCTCTCCTGTCTTTCCCCTCTTCATCTCCGCAGAGATGGGCAGCGCACAGCTTTAAAAACAAGTCCCTCGTGCTGGACAAAAGAACTACATCCACTGGCGATACAGGAATGAACCTGGTCTTGAGGCAAGGGGCGCTGAAGGACGGCGAGGGGTACACTTTCACCCTCCACATCACAGACCTCACAACAGGGGAGGAAGGCTTTGCCTCCATTGACCTGCTGCCCAACCAGCCGCCTGTCGGAGGGTCCTGCAGGCTGTTTCCCAGAGGACCGCTCAGGGCACTGATGGCAAAGGTGCACTTTGAGTGTACAGGTGAGTGTGCTGGGCACTTGCCAGCCCTCTCTGTTCTTCGTGGGCAAATGTTTCTCCTGCTCAGTAAGTTACCAGCTGTCCTTATTCTCACAGAAGTTGTCTTTTCCCTGAACTCCAGCCCCAGGACACTGTTGGTCAGGCCTGAGTTCAGAAGTGGACCTTAACATTTCTGTCCCCTAGAATTTGGACCACAAGCAGTTTTGTGTGATCAAATCAAGGAGCTCTCTAAAATTCATGGCAGGCACTTTTTTTATACCTCGTCCATGTATTTGAATGGCAGTATCCAGGGCAGGACAGTACTCATGGAAGAAACTGGCGTTTGGGGGCAGGAAAAAGAACATAGATGCTCTAAACTGAGTCACACAGACGTGGGAAGAGTAGAGACAGAGCACTGGGGCCTTCTCTTCCATGTGGGCTGGATGTTCCCATCAGCAGTTACCTTCTCAACCAGCTGCAGAGACAGCAACAAAGAGACCAGCTTTGGAAAAGCGGCCTGGCTGACAGCCTATAGCCTTGGGCCAACGAATAAGTGCCTCTGAAAACCTTATTTCCCCAAATGATTAGTGTTAGAGATTAATGTGTTCTGTGCACAAATGCTGGGAAGCCACGCCGCAGAGGAAATGACGAGCCCTGCTGGTTCTGGGGAGCCTGGTCACCGAAGCGCAGTTTAAGCTGGAGGAGAAACAGAAGTGTGCTCAGCGTGCTGTGACTGTGACTTTGGTACGAGCTACCCAGAGTATTACCCAGAGTAATTATGAAATCAGTACGTCTTTGGAGCAGTGGGAATTCTAGCTCTGGGTGATTGTTTTTAAGCTGAAGGGGAATGCTCAGGACGCAGCCCCGCTGGTCTGTGTCCAGTGCAGTGAGCCCTGGCAGAGCCAGGTCCTCCCAGTCCTTCGCTGGTGCTTACTGGCAGAAGTGCAGCAGATTTCCACACTGCCCAGCCCCACAACATTCCCTGTATTATCCAGGAGCTTTAGGGAAACCTTTATGCAGGTTCTGTCCTAGACCCATTTGTTCCTAAAATGTTGAACTGCCTGAGTGCTGCACCAAGCTCTGTCTAGTGTAAGACTTTGCAGGATTGGTGCAGAAACTGTGACCTTGGCTGAGTGCTGCTCTATTCTCATTTTTATTTTATTTGGGAGCTCTTCACAGACCCGTTCAAATGTTACAGGATACAAACACCCACACAGAAACCCCTAAACATCAGGAAAAGTGTCAAACCTTTGCATTGCAGCCCTGAAAACATCATCCGGGCTGCTGGAATCTTTAAGCTGCCCCAACTGTGGGCTCCAGGGTGGTGACATCTCCCCAGTGCCCCCTCCCCCCCAGTCACCTCTTTTTGGGTTTGTTCGCAGGCTGGCGGGACACAGAAAACGTGGACGACCCGCTGGTGTACATCCTGCTGGCGTCGCGCCGCCGCGCCGGGCACTACCACGAGTTCTGTGTGTACAAGGGCAGCCGTGCCGAGCACAGCGCCTTCCTGCCCCCCGGCTTCCAGGAGAGTGGCTTCGTGGTGTCCGTGTCAGTCCTCGTCCAGGACCAGCTGGGTGCCACCGTGGTGGCCATTAACCGGTAAGGCTGGGGGGAGGCTGCTCTGGGGCTGTGCCAGGGACCGGCTGAGACTCTGGGTGTCAGCATTATGCCTTGACCACCGGTCCCTTTCCTGAAAGGCTCAGCACATCCTGGTGAAATGTTCTCCTCCTGGACAAGGCCCCTGCAGGAAGGCAAAGGGAGATTTAGCAGAAGCGAGGCACTGCAGCCACAGAGAGCTCCAGTCTTTGTGGATCGTCTCCCAAGGGGGAGACTTTTTCCCAGCAGTTATGGCTCTCCTGACCCCCCTCTTAATTTCCTGCTGACACTTTGCTTTGAAGGCACGGTGTTGCTTTTTCAGAAGCTCTCTGATGCTCTGTGCTCTGCCCCCTTCTGTGCATCAAGAGCTGCTGAAGGAGAAGTGGCAGCCGCAAGCAGTGGTGCCTGCTGCTGCAAGCCAGGGAGGTGCCGTGTAGCTGAGGTGGGGAGCACAAGCACTGGAACAGGGTGGAAGGTGTTGCAGCTCGAGCCTCAGCAGGGCCAGCACCTTAAAATCCCAGTTACCCCTTGTCCAAACACCCCTTGGCTTCCAGTGTGCTCCGTGCAGGCAACGAGTGCCCCTGGGTCTTGGGGGAGCCTCCTGAAGGGGTCTCAGTGCCTCCTGCCCCAGCTCTGTGCCTGCTCCGGGCCGATTTGCAGCTCTCCGCACTGTCCGTGCGGTCCTGGCCCCCCCGGGGGGGAGCACACGGCCCTGCGGTGCCTGGGGAGGACAATCTGTGACCCAGCTGTTCCTCAGGCCCCGGGGAATGGTGCCAAAAGCAGCGCAGCTCCTCCCAGCACTCTGCTCCTATTTGTAAGCCCTTTACGCTCCGTCACATCAAACCTGGATTTTCTCCTCTGGGCTCAGCGCACCTGTGTGTGCCCACAGAGGGAGCAGGCTCAGGTCCCCGAAGTTCCTACATCCTGGTGCAAACTGGGCACCAGGGCAGGCATTAGCGATGCTCTCGCTGTTGTTTAACCACCTGGTCCCCCCTTACCTTCCTTCCCAGCTCCCTGTTCTGCCCCAGCCCCATTTCACAGCACGCTCTTCAACCAAATGCCTCTTTTCTTCGGCAGCTCCATGGAAATCGGCTTACCCAGGGGCTTCCCCAGCCTCTCCTACTGGCTCTACAATCAAACCGACACCGTGCTCCAGGGCTTAGTGAAGCAGGGGGACCCTCAGCAGGTCATCGAGTACTCCCTGGCCCTCATCACCATCTTAAATGAGGTAAAGCAGCACTCTGCCCAAGAGGGGCCTCCGGAAGCCCTTGCGATCGCCAGTAATGTTCTTTGGCCAGGTTTTCCACAGCGATGTAGGGAAGTGACTAATGCTACAGTTTTCCGTGCAAATCAGCATACGTGCATGGTGGGAGCGGGGCTGGAGTGATTTCCATGCATCAAAAAGAGAGTAACAGTCTCCAGACACACAATGACCAGAGAAAGCTGAGGGGCTGTAAAATAAAGCAAAGTTCCCAGGGAAGGCAATGGCCTGGGCATCCCCTGTTCAGCTGTCATGTTCAGATAGGTTACCATTTGAGAGGAAAAACTCAAGTCTAAACGCTGAATTTAAAAGCGGGAATCTTGGCCCAAATTCCCCCATCTGCCCCATGCTTCCTGTGAAGCCACCCCACTCCATCACAGCAGGCCTGGAAACTCCCAGTAGCTGCTCAGGTGCTGTCTGGGTGCTACGGAGACCTCCTTGTCCTGAGTGCTGAGCTGGAAAGCTCTTCTGGCTGCACAAGAGGCTTTTGATCTATGGTGTAGGAGCATCATCCTCCTGGCAGCTTTTGCTTTCACTCCTGTCTAAAGTAGGGCCCAGTCCCTCCGTGTGTCTCTGTAGGCAGGGTAGGAATTTTGGTCTATAGTCGTGCTTTTTCCCCCAAAAATAGCCCGCTGCATGCCTGGGCACCAGGCAGGGGTGATGCCCACGAGCACAGGCACTGTGCTGAGCTGGACGGGGACTGCTCACTGGTGTGCTGCCGAGCTGTCCCGTGTGAGGGTGTTAAGTGAATTGCTGAGTGCACACAGGTGAAATTGAGAAAGTTCTGCTGAAAACCCAGCTCATGAGAGGGGAGAAGAACAGGCGGGGAGAAGGTGTAGAATGCAGGAGAGGTGCCTTCAGCACAGCTCATCACTGAAGCAGCCCGATGCGTTCCCTCACTGCCTGCTTTGATCCCCTCAGTATGAGCGGACAGAGCTTCTGGAGCCTGAGACTGGGAACGAGTTTGAGCTGCGGACCTGGACCCGCAACAACATCACAGAAACCCTGAACTCGCTGAACGTGAACACGGTGGATGACATCCAGCAGATCTCAGCAGCGCTGGCTCAATGCACGGTACGTACTTCGTCACCACCTCCTCCCACCTGCTGCCCTTCAGGTGCAGCTTAGGAGCAATTCAATTCTTGTTCTGCTTCCCTGCCCCTCTCTGTCCCACACACCACACAAGGGCAGGTGTCACTTGCTGACATCATTAGGGTTTCAGTGGAAATGTCCCAACCGTTGTCAGCTCTTCCCCCCACCACACCACTGACCTAGCAGGCAGGTTTAATGATGCATTCATGTGCTGGAAGTTCACCTAGGAACTCTGTGCTTTTAATACCAGCCTTGCTGTGGCAGCTTGCTAGCAAGAGGGATCCTTAACTAGCAGATGGAGGCTGTAGGAAAGGCCCCAGCAGGTTAGAGAGGCACTGGAATAAGTTGCTGAGGGATGCGCAGCATCTCCAAGGACAGGCTGGGCTCCACCAGGAGTAACACAAGTAGAGGCGGACCTGCCTTGAGCCAGGGGCCAAAGCCAAGGGCTGATGTTCCTTCCAGCCCTGTACAAGATGAGAAGCACTTTCTTTGCTCTGCTGTTGACTGGAAGCGCTGTTTTCCCTGGCCAGCCAGCAGTTTCTGCTCCCTGGTGCTGGGGCTGCTGCCTGTTGGATTGAGGAGTGGTATTGTGTGTTTTGTCAGATGGGCAAAAGGGAAGAGAGCCCAGTTATATAACGCACTAGGGTTTTGGTGGTCAGCCAGGCTGCTCTGGCATGCTGTTGCTTCCCTGCCCTCCCAATCTTTCCTTCTCAGGGCTGGAGTCAGGTACCCTGACCTTGGCTGCTCATCGCCCCCCAGCCAGGTCAGCAACCGTGCTCGCTGGGAACAGGCTCTCACTGAGATCACGGACAGACTACTGCATCCCACCCACAGAGCGCCTGGTCTGCTGCTGCTTCCTCAGCTTCAACGTCTATAAGCCTCAAAAATCACTTCTGTCTGTTCATCCTTGTTCAGGGATTTGGGGTTCAGCACACCCCGTTCTGATGCCAGTGGTTTGTTTGTGTCTCTCACCCATGCCCTTGCCTTGTGACTTGATCTCGCTGTGGAAGCTCAACTCTAGAAATAGAATTTTTGTTCCATGGGAAAAGGTGATGTTCTAGGATTAGCTTGTGCTCTGGATGGGAATAAAAAGCTTATAAAAAGAGTAATACAGAATTTCCCAAATGGTTCGGAGCAGCACAGAGATCACAAATTTACTTTCCTCTAGCAGTGTCAATCAGTGCTGATACTTTTTAATTTTTCCTACAGGGGAGAGGAAAAATAAGAATAAATTTCTCCTGGAGGGGAAAAAAGAATCTCATTCTTCTTAGTGGGTTCTTTTTTCCTGATGTCCTCGATATCTCAGTCTGTCTCGCTGTCATACAGAGTACATCCTAGCTTCTCATAGTTTACAAATAGAAGCAAAACCAGGGGAATGCTAGACCTGCAGACACTGTTTTAATTCTTCACCAAAACATATGGTGAATCACGTCTGAATCCTGTGATGATTAAAAGAAAAAGATGAATAAGAGCTAGGAACTGGCCTGTGGTAACAGCTTCCATGTGTTGCCTCGGTCCCTCCCATCCAGCCCTCGAGAGCGCTGGGAGCTGCAGGCCGTGGCTGGAACATTCTGTTTCTTGGACACGTCTGGGAGCGGAGGGAGGGACATCCATCATGCCTGAGTGGCAGGATCCCTCCCACAGTTTCCAGGAGTATTTGGACACCGCAGTGGATTCAGTTAGGGCCAGACCTTGCTGCCATTGAAGACAGTTGAGCATGTGGAGGAATCCTGTGCAGCTCCTCCTGGGTGATTTCTGTAGGAGCAGTGTGTGGCCCCAAACGGGTGATCCATGAGTTGCAATGCCAGGAGACGTGCTTGGTCCTTACAGCCAAACCTCAGGGAAGCTGAGTATGCTGCCCTTCATGGTCCTTTTCAAACTAATATGTCCTCCATCACCTCTTAGCATGCCTGCCTGTAGATGGGAGCATGAGGGGAGGTGGGTGGAAGGCTTCTGGAGACACCCACAAAACCTTGGCACCTCTTAGTGTGGGCAGAGCAGCTCTGGTCTCTGCAGGCACCTCCTCGGGGCTGGAAAGAACAAGGATAACTTGGAGAATGAAAACAGCGTTTGAACAAATGTCCTCGGGTCTTTGTAGGACTGAGCCAGCTGAATCAGGCTGTGTTTCCCTGTGCAGGTGGTGAGCAAGGAGATGGTCTGCAAGTCCTGCCTGACGAGGACCTTGAACAAGCTGGAGACCATGATGACCATTCTGCAGGGGGAAACGACCCAGGGCACCGTGACCCCAACGGGCATCGCCGACAACATTCTCAACATCACAGGTGGGCTCTGCTCACACGGGAGTGGGGGGCGTTTGACCATGCTGTAGGCACAGAGTCTGCAGGACAGCAGCAGGCTGAGGGGAGCTCTGCAGGCTTTTGCCTGGACCAGAGGTTTGGCTCGTGCCTTTTCGAGATGTTTGGGGAATCGTGTCTGAGATTTGGAGCATGGCACCCCCATTGCTTTATTCTCCCTGCACTTTTCCCAGGGTTATCCTGGCTTTGTCAGCTGTCTCTGTGGATATTTAAATATGACAGCTGTTAATAAACTCTGCAGTACTTCAGGGAATTGTCATTCTTGTAAAGAATGAATAACAGATAGGGTTTCCAGATACTCGCCTTCCTGGTTGCAGGCTGAGCAGGGTACCAGTCTTTACTGGGGCACCCCCGAATACTGGGAATTCCCACCTGGTTACAAGCAGAGACACCTTCTTTGCACTGCTCATTATACATTTCTGACCATTTTTCAATATATAATGCAAAAACCTGGTAACATCTTTGTTTTATCCGCTCCGCTGTTTCCCAATCTGTTGTTCCTGTCACTTCACAGGAGGAAAATAAAGCCTGTTGTGATTAAGTCCTCATCACCAAACGGTGTAGATTAGCCCAGACATGGCAGGAAGAGCTGACAGCTCTATTTTCAGCTCAGGGCTACTGAACACTTCAAGCGTGGCAGGTCACTGTATGCAGTGCAGAGTGACAGTGAGAAATCAGCAAGGAAAGATCTGTCTGATTGTTTTGGGAAGATGTCAGATGTTACCTAGATGTTAGTAGTTAACTCAACTATTTACCAGCTCCTCTCTTTGCACTGTCATTTCTCTCCTGACAGGTGACTTAATCCACCTCGTCAATACGGTTTCACAAGAGTCCAAGCCCCAGGAGCTGCTTGCTGATTCCCACAACCTGCTGCTGGCTCCCAAAGCCTACAACCTGTCTTCCAGCCTGATGCGCATCCTCATGAAGTCTCGTGTGCTGAATGAAGAGCCCCTGGAGCTGGTGGGGGGAGAAATTAAGGCCACAGGCAAAAGATCTGATCCCTTTAACTTGCTTTGCTATGAGAACACGCCGAACTGCCAGTTCTCCATCCCCCAGGCTTTCAACACCACCCTTTCCAACTTGACCGACGTAATTCAAGTCATGTTCCAAGTGGACTCCAACCCGTTCCCCTTTGGTTACATCAGCAACTACACCGTGTCCACCAAGGTGGCCTCCATGGAGTTCCAGACCCACAACGGGGTGCAGATCCCCATCGGCAGCCTGGACTCGGAGAAAGCCATCACTGTAATGGTGTCAAACAACACGGACGCTGACAATCTGGCTGCTGGCACTGAGGTCATCGAGGCAAGAACATCCGTGAACCTCATCGTGACCATGGAGAGCAACAACCGAGAAGCAGGACTGCACTTCAGGCTCACCTACAAAGTCCTGAACGGTAGCTCAGAGCCAGCTCCCCGTGCTCTTTGCTGTTTCTTCCCGTGGGCGGGGAGGGCTGGGTTGGAGGCAGGGGGCGGTTGTGTCAGGGGATGTGTTTGGGAGCACATCTCGGGACAGCAGGTCCTGAACTGCGCTGCCGAGGTTGCAGCTGTCATGAGCATTATCCAACCCTGGTGCAATCCTTGTCTGTGGATTCTGACACCGAGAAGCCTTTTGTTTTTCCCAGCAAAGTGTGGCTTCTGTGAGCCGTGTTAGCACCAGAGGGAGCTTGTCCTGTCCCTGGGTCAGGTACACTGGGATCCAGAGCCTCCTGCTCAGGAATCCTCTGAGCTGCAGGCAGAGTGCAGACAGGAAATCATCTCTCCCAGCTCCGTGTTGCTGACACTCCTCCCCGAGCATCCACTGCTGGCAGCAGCCGCGTGGTTGAGCTCTCCCTGGTGTTTATAAAGTACTTTCTGTTCTTTCTCTCTCTCCCCCTGTGCAGATCATTACATCGCGAGCGAGCCTGAGCCGTTCATCATGGCCTATCTCCACCACGAACCAGAGCCCAACGAGTACAACTGCACTGCCTCGAAGAAAATCAGCCTGGAGGCCCTGTCTGGAGATGACCACAAGCTCTACACCTTCTTCACCTCACCGCTGTAAGAGCACCTTCCCTACTGATCCCTGCCACCCCCAGGCTGTCCCGTGGATGTGCACGAGGGATTCCCAGAGCTTTGCCATGGCTAATGCCAGGCTGCCCTGGGCTGCTGTGCCGCTGGGGTTTGGAGCCAAGCTCTCTTCTTTCTGTAAGAGCAGTCGTTCTTGTGACTTCAGTCACTGACTTGCTGCCTTTCCCAGGAGTGTGTGTGTTCATGCCTCGTGTTATTTATGAGCCGTTCCTAGGCATGATCTGAGAAGAAAGACAGGCAGCTTGGGAATAGGCGGGGCAGGAGTGGAGCCACTGTTGTGTAAGTTGACACAACTTCCATGGCTTTTGGTAACAGCACGCTCAAAGAGGAATTAATCCTCCTGATGAGCGAGTCTGCTCCCAGCCAAGAAGTGAAGTTGCTCTGGAAGAGTCGTGGGGGTCAGTGGGACAGAGGGGAGGGTGGGTGGAGAGCTGTGCAAGGCTCCCAGCACACAGAAGAGAAGGGACAGGCAGTGCAGTGCTCCCAGGTACTGAAATAACGCAAAGAGAGAAGGATTCAAGGGGTCTTTAGAGCCCCAGAACTTCAGCACAGAGGGCTGTGCAGATTATACCACGTTCACCAGGCCTTTCTTTCTCCTTCTGTGTGCTTACCTGTCCCTGCAGGGGGGTGATTTCTGGGGTTTGTGTCCCTTCAGCCCGTGGGTAATGATATCTTGCTGTCCTGCCCTTTCCAGGACGGATGACACCATCCAGAAGTATTACTTCAACATCACCAACCATTTCAGCTGGTCCCCGGTGGAGGTGACCCTGGGGCTGTACACGTCCCTGTGCCAGTACTTCAGCGAGCAGGAGCGACGCTGGAAGACAGAAGGCATCGTCCCGCTCGAGGAGACCAGGCCAGACCAGGCCGTCTGCTTAACCCAGCACCTCACTGCCTTCGGGGCCAGCCTCTTTGTGCCCCCAAACTCTGTCCAGTTCATCTTCCCTGTGAGTAGAACAAAGCAGAGGCTGTGTGGCATTGTCACTTCCAAACAAAGAGGTCTTGGGCTCCTGCTGGCGTTCATGTTGGGGCTGGGTGGTGGCTGGCAGACCAGTACCTGTACCTGTGCACCTTTGGGAGCTGCAGCTGAGCACAGAGGGGCTGTGTCCCCTGCTTGTGAGTCCTGGCTGCTGATGCTAAAAGCAGACGCTTGCAGCTGGCTTTATTCCCCAGTCTGAATACCTCGCAGTGTGCTCACCTCTTTCGTGAGACGCCAAATGCTCCTCCCAGCTGTCACAGCACTGTTTGATCCCAGAGAGCTTGCACCTGCCAGCTGCTCCCTGGCTCCTGGGGACACTGGGGCTCCTTCCAGCTCTGTTGCTGTGCCATAGGTGGGAGCAGAGAGCTCCCAGCAGCTGCTGCAGTGAGCTGGGGCTGGCTGCTGCCAGCACATGAGCCCTGAGCACAGTGTGAGCAGGGACAGGTCTCTGGTTGCACGCGGTGCTGCGAGTGATGTTCACCACAGCCCCCGGGGAGCTGTGGGGTCCTCCTGAGGAAAGAGAGCATTTTTCAGCTTGGTTCTTTTCTTCCAGGCTCCAGGCCCGGGCCTCAACTACATCGTTCTGCTGACATGCGCCGTCTGCTTTGTGACTTACTCGGTGGCCGCGCTGATTGTGCACAAGCTGGACATGATTGACATCAACCGCGTCGGGGTGATTCCCTTCTGCGGCAAGAACGGGCTGTATAAATACGAGATCCTGGTGAAAACTGGCTGGGGCAGAGGATCAGGTCAGCCCACAGACTCCTCCCGTGCTTGACTGCTAGGGTGACATCTGTGCAGCTCCCTGAGAGCTCCCCTCGGGGCATCCCGCACCAAATGTCCCCTGGCAGGGCCCAGAGCCCAGCTGTTGTTTGAAGGAGCACCCAGCAGTCAGCTCAGGGCTTCCCCACAAGATTCAGATGTTTATGTGTGTCTGATGATGGAGCAGGAGAAAAAAAGAGTCACTTCTTTCTGTAGGGAGCCAGCTGGTACAGAAACGCCTGCAGGAGGAGGCAGTGGTTGTGCCTCACTGCTGGAGCTCCCTCCCGTAGATCCTTTCCTGCAGAAGCTTCCAGGCCTTGTGGGCACTGCAGACTGATCATTTTGCTTTCCACCTCCATCCATCACTTTGTTCTCCCCTCCCAATCTTTCCTAGCAGCGTGAAGGCAGAAAGCTTGGCTTTCTGACCTGGGGCTGGGTTTGTAGCTCGAGCTGCCAGAAATATCATCCCAGGCCTGGAAATGCAGGGAGCTGGGATGTGGGAGCTCTGAGCACGGATGGGCGTAGATGCCACCGTGTCACTGCTAGAGGCATGCTCCCAGTGATCTTAGCGTAACCACTGGTTTCACTGGGAGCAGCTTTGGTCCGAAGTCACCCCAAGGACCGCCCAGGTTGAGCAGGTGGACCAGGGAGCATCTGGCAACGGGTACCAGAGAGAAGTCAAAGCAAACAAGTCTTCTGACTGTCTGATGGAAGAGACATCCAGAATAAACGTCTCCTCCCAGTAGGGTGTTAGCAAGTCAGGGAATTTCAGATTCAGTCCCCTCCAAAGTGGAAAACCACGAGGATGCCAAGGATCAGTCTGAGCAGCTGCCCTGCAGGCTGTGTAACACCACCCCGGGGTGTGGGACAGCTGCCGAGGGCATTTTTTCCTCCCAGGTCCCCAGGTGGCCCCTCTGCAGGGCCAAGGCACCCTGCCCCACATCCCTGGCAGGAAGGCAGGGCTGGGAACGGCTCCACCTTGGGGAAACTTCCCTAACCGAGCCCCGTTAACCCTGCCAGGTACCACAGCGCACGTGGGGATCGCCCTGTACGGCGTGGACAACAAAAGTGGGCACAGACACCTGGACGGGGAAAACGCCTTCCACCGCAACAGCCTCGACGTGTTTCAGATCGCCACGGAGCGGAACCTGGGCAGCATCTGGCGCATCCGCATCTGGCACGACAACAAAGGTGGGACAGGAGCTGGCGTGGGGGCTGAGGCTGCCGTCGGGCATCAGGGGTTCACACGGGGAGTGCCTGCCCCGAAACATCTCTCTTTATCCCTTCACCCTTAGGACTCAGCCCCTCGTGGTACCTGCAGCACGTCATCGTCCGGGACCTGCAGAGCAGCAAGAGCTACTTCTTCCTGGTGAACGACTGGCTGTCCGTGGAGAGCGAAGAGAACGATGGCATGGTGGAGAAAGAGGTTTATGCTGCCAGTGAGTGCTCGGCTCCTGGGCGCAGGGCAGGGAGGCTGGGCAGGGTGGCAGCTCCCATTGCACAGAGGAAGGGCTTGTGCAGGAGACTGCAGAGAGCCCGTAGAGCCTGCACACGGCTACAATCTCACTACACTGATGATTTGCACAGCCAAATGCCCTGCTGGGTGCTTTGTGCTAGAGGACAAGGCATGGCTGGGATCCAGCTTTGCAAAAAGGTCTGCATGGGTGCAGTGGGGATACTCTGAGTATCAACCTGCAAGGGGGAACTGTGCCAGCCCCAGCTGGGCACCCTCTCCTGTGCAGCTGACCCTGAAAGTCTCTCTTTGTGCTCAGGTGAGACGGAGCTGAGGAGCTTCTCCCGGATCTTCATAGCAGAGCTGCAGCGAGGCTTCTTCGAGAAGCACATCTGGCTGTCCATGTGGGACCGCCCGCCTCGCAGCCGCTTCACCCGTGTCCAGAGGGCCACCTGCTGCTCCCTCCTCATCTTCCTCTTCCTCTGTGCCAATGCCGTGTGGTACGGCATGGTGGGGAACGTACACCTCAGGTGCGCTGTCCCTTAACTCCTCAGAGCCCCTCCTGTGCTTCCCCTTAGGCAGGGCAGGACAGACCTTAGGTCTGCTGCAAACAGCTGCCTGTGACCTTGAGCCTGCCCTTCCCCTTGCAAAGGATTTGGGATCAGGACATGGGTTGTGGAGGACCAAGGAGAGCCTGATCAGCTTTTCCCCTTGCCCATTTTTGCCATGCCATCTGTTAGCCTATGCCCCTTTCTTTCCCAGCACACCTGAAATGCCCAGTTGTGCTCTTCTGTCTTGCTCTCTGCTTGGCTGGCAGCCCCGAGAGCTCCTGCTAACGCCCATCTCCGATCTCTCTCGGTTCTCTCCAGCAACAGAGCCATTTCCAACCTGGTGCCTGTTAACGTGGACACCGTGGCTGTCGGTCTGGTGTCCAGCGTGGTGGTCTACCCTCTCTACTTGGTCATTTTATTCCTCTTCCGGATGGCTCGTGGCAAGGTAATTAAAAAGAGTAAAAAAAGGAAAAGAGTAAAAAAGGAAAAGAGTAGCTGCTGGCTGCCCAAATGGGTGTGCTCATCAGGTTTTCTCATCTGGGGCAGTGTTCTACCCTTGGTGGTACATCACTTCTCCAGCTGGTTGTCTCCCTGCTGCCCTTCTGCACTGCCCTGCCTCATGGCCACAGCCTGGGATGACGCAGGGCTCTGCCCCCCTGTTGAGTGGGGAGCAGCCCCTGGCTTTATTTAGGGCGACAGGTCACTGTCATGCACATTTGCTGGGTGATAGTGGCTTCTATTTAGGCACTTCATCTTGATTTTGGTAAGTGATAAATACCCAAATGCCACTGAAAGGTACGACCCTCTGCTGCTTCGGTAGGAGCTTGAGAGCAGCTCAGTCGAGCATTCCTAATGAAATACCTGCCCTGGGTACAAACTGAGCTCTCTGAACAGAGCTGTGGTTAGGCAGCTGTGGAAGGATTAGCTGGGGATTTAATGACTAGTTACACACAATTAACGGCCTCATTAAGTACTGCAGCCAGCTGCTCAGTGACTGATGAGCAGCAAATGTGCCTGATATTTCTTTTTCCTATGAGCACTCCCTGCTTCTGCAGAAGACTGTAAACCCCTGCAGCTTCTAGGGAACTTGTAGGGGGCACAGCCCAGAGGGTCCTGGGCTTTGGGGCAGTGCCCGAGGCAGGGAAGGACGTGCCTGTTCTCAGCCCCACCAGGCACATCGCCACCTCTGCCCCTCCTGGGTCTGCTCAAGCCTTCCTGCCTCCTGCAGGTCTCCATCAACCACACGCTGACTCACTCCGACCAGCAGTCCCTGGAGATCGACAACTACCTGGACTCCTCCATCCTCGACAGCTCCTTCCCCACCTTCCCTGGGCTGCGGGCAGAGGTAAGCTGCAGGTGGCTCTGTGGGCTCTCCTGCACCCCCACAGCTGCATCCATCACGGTCAGTGCCAGGACTAAGGCACTCGTGCCACCGGACAGCACTGGTGGTGGGGAGAGCCACAGCCTTTTGTCTCTGCATAGCTGCTGTTCTGGCCGGGCAGCAGTGTCACATCCCTGAAGTGCCTCCTCTTCCTCCACAGGCCTTCTCTGAGCAAACCAAGACAGATCTGTTCTTGGAGGATTCCAAAAGGTAAGTGGGTTCCTGGGGATGGAACAAGTAGGAATTCAGTGTTGTCTTCTTCTTCTGGTCTCCCACAAATTATTTCTTCCTTTCCTAACTGCACACCGTGCTCTGTCCTCCCGCAGCCTCGTGCGGTGGCCCTCCAGCGAGGCGCTGCTCAGCTGGCCAGACCTCCTCAGCAACCCCTCCATCATGGGCAACACCATCCAGAAGCTGAAGAGAGGCCAAGCCAGCCGCCACCTGGGGCTCGAGGCTCCGCTGGCAGCTGAGGAGGACAGCCTGTCGCTTGGCGTGCACCAGGGGCAGCCGCGGTACTTCTCTGCCTCAGGTGGGTGCGAGCGGCACTGCTCCCTGCCGAATGCTGCAGGGGTGTGCAAGAGAAGCAATCTGGTGCTTGGGAGCTCCAGGGAAGCAGAACAGCAGAGCTTGCCACCAAACTGGCTTCAATTTGCAAGGCAGAAGTGGGGATCATATTTTTAATGGGAATGTCAGAACCTTCTCAGGGTGGGGGTCTGCGTGCTGTGCTCCTGCCAATGCCCTCTGCGCTGTTTCCCCAGATGAGGACCTCATCCGGCAGATCCTAGCAGAAGGAACTAGTGGCATCTCCCACTCCCAGGACCTGGGGCCGTACATGAGGGCTGAAACAGATCTGATCTCAGGCCTGTAAGTACGAGGGGAGCAGAGTTCCCCACGCAAGGCAGGCAGATCCAGTGTCTCCTGTCCTTGCCCTCGCTGCTGTTGTGCCTGCCAGCTCTGCTGCATGCAGCCCCAGCGAGCTGAGCTGGGCTTTGTGGCACTGCAAAGCCCCAGACAGCCTTGTCACACAGTCACTGTGTCACTGTGATTCCTGCAGCCTGCACAGCCAGGGGTCCAGGAGGGCTCTGCATCGCTTCCAGGAGCTACCTGGAACATCCCCTAAAGCCCTGGCTGGAGAAATGGCTCCAGAGCTTCGTGGGCTGCTGATGAAGTGCCAGGGAGGCACTTTGGGGAAGGGGGTTTGAATCCCTGATGTGTTGCCATGCCCAGAGCACCCTGCATTAGGGTACAGGCACTGCCTATAAAAGCAGCAGGGTGAGGGAGGGGAAAGTCTTCCAGCAGGAAAGTGTTCCTCTGCAAAAGGCAGAACAGAGCATCAGGGTACTGGCAGCCTGAGCCTGCTGCCCTATAAAATACCCCTGCCTGGCCCAGTGCTGCTGTGCTGCTGACAGCCTGACCCCACAGCACCCACATGGCTCACCAACAGCACCCCTTTGCCTCGGCAGCTCCAGTGTGTTCGGGGAGAAGGTGGAGACTGTCATGATGCAGAAGCTGAACGACAAGGGCCAGGGCATGGCAGCCCCTCCCCGGGAAGTGAGCAGGTCGGCCAAGTCGACGTGGACAGGTACCAGGGCTGTGCCCAGCGGCAGTGCCGTGGGCCTTTGGGGACGGGCAGGGGCCTTTGGGGACGGGCAGGGGCCTTGGCACATAGCACAGCTGTGAGGAACAGGCAGGTAAGCAGAGCGTTAGGAGAGGCTGCTCCCAGCAGGGATGTGTCTGCTCTTTCCTTCAGCCACCAATTCCTTCCTTCATCCAGCACGAGGATGCAGAGCGAGGGTCTCTGTTACGGGAAAATGAGTCAAATGCCAACAAAAGTTCACCCAACAAAGCAGAGGAGGAGAGGTGCTTCCTAGTGGAGCGTGCAACACAGCTGGGGCTGCACCAGCAGGATGTCAGGCCTGGGGGTGGGAAGTGCCAGGCTGTCCCATGGAGAGGCTGAGCACCAGTTCTTGTAGTGAACTCTTGGCTTCCTGAGGCACGGCCTCCTTAGGACAGGCTGCAGCAGAATTGGACACGGCAGTAAATCCTCCTGGATCTGCTAAAATCCCTCCGTTCATCGTGCTTGATGAATGGCTGTAGGATCTCTATGCCGGCACTGGTTCAGATGGGTGGATGAAAGAGGCTGTGCCCGAGCAAGCCCCGGGGCAGGGTGGCTTGGCAGGCTGAAGGCTGTGACAGATCTGTGTGGCTTTTCACAGGTCTTGACCGCAGCACTTCCAGCCAGGCCGGGCATGCCCCATTTCCCGGGGCTCTAATGGAAAGCAGGGAGCTGATCCCACTGCCGAGGCAGGATCCCATCTCCTGCTGCCCACCCTGCTGCTGCAGATGGGAGGCTGCTGTGCTGGGCTGGCTGTGGTTCAGGCTGCTGTGTTCGTGCTTAGTGGGAGATGGCTGGGACAATCCCTCCAAACCCTCCCGGGACTGGTGGCGAGTTCTCTGCTGCGATGAGGGATGTGCTCAGCCCTGTGCCCACTGGGACCCTTTAGCAGTGACGGTTGCTCTCGTTTCTTTTCCCTCCAGTTGCAGACCAAACATTCAGGAAGCGCTTGCTGCCCCCCTGGTGCTCCTATCTGGCTCATGGCATCAGCCTCTTCCTCTTTGCCACCTCCACGGGGGTCTCGGTGTGGATCGGGGTGGGTTTTTCCTCCAGCGTCGCCCTCATGTGGCTTATCTCAGGGATATTCAGCTTCCTGGCATCCTTCTTGGTCTGGGAGCCCCTGAAGGTAAGGACAACAAAAGGGAGGACACAAGCACTTACCTGTCTGTGTGCACATATCAGCTGTAATTAACATCTTCTCCAGATCCTAATCAAGTCCCGTCAGACACAGGGGACTGAATTCTGCAGAGGAGGGTGGGCACAATAGCAGCGTTAGGGGAGGCAGGTGGTGGCAATTTGGGTTACAGGCAGCCAGCTGCTCCAAGGTGGTGCTGAGCTGCCGTGCCCTGTGGCTGAAGGGCAAACAGGAGCTGCTGCCCCGTGGTTCTGGTGGCACGGCTCTGCTCCGTGAGCTCACAGCGTGCTGGTGTCCCCAGGTGCTGCTGGAAGCCCTCTATTTCTCACTGGTCGCCAAGCGCTTGCACCCAGAGGAAGACGACACCTTGGTGGAGCACCCGTTTGTTGAGCACGTTTCTGAGAAGATCAGCAAAGTCCGACCCCCCCAGGGATTTGCCCTTTTCCAGGCCAAGGAGGAGGCCAGGAAGGTCAAGCTGCTGCACAGGATGCTGAAGGTGAGCAGAGGTGGAGCGCTGGCACCACCAGCTGAGATCCGTCCTTGTGTGGTACCTCCCAGTCCATCTGTGACCCCCTGAGCTCGGAGGTGCAGGTGTCCGGTCCCTGCCTCAGTTTCCCCACCTGTAGGAGGCAGGCAGTGAGGTTCATCTTCTCGCTGAAGCTCTGAGGTGTCTGGACAACAGGACCATAAGGGGGTGGCCGTGTCCTTGATTTGGAGCAGTGGCTTTGTTTGTCTCTGTAATTGGGGTGTTTGAGGCTAGGGCCAGGTGTGCAGCATCAACTTGCACAAAGAAAATTAATTAACAGGGTCTTGTGAGACATAACAAGAGCAGAAGTCCCAGTTTCTTTGTAGATCATTCCACGCTGGTGCTGGGAGTACACGGCTGCTTTAGAGCATCCAGCTACTGTCAGCTGAGTGCCAATCCTTTAAAGAGCAAAAACTTCTGTACCCGCTTTTATAACCTGAGCTGCCAGCTACAGCACTGCTGCAGGGAGGTTGTGCAGTGTGTACCAGCTGAAATGTGGTCCTGGGCTGGCTGCTCTGAGGGGGGGGGGAAAAAAAGCCTGTGCCTGGGTTTTGTTTTAAACTGCTTCCAAATGGGAATTAGCAGCAGGCTCTGGGGCCTGATCCCGCTGCACCCAGTGGAAGGCATCGATTCCTGCAGGGACAGGACGGGATCCTGCTGTTGGGTACAATCCCTTTCTGCTCTCTGCTTGCCAGAACTTCCTCATCTACATGATGTTCTTGCTGGTGATCCTGCTCACCAACTACGGAGACGCCACCCGCAACAGCAGGGCCTTCCTCCTGCAGAGCTCCATCAAGCAGCAGCTGGGCAGCAGCGAATTCCTCCGCATCAAGAGGTAACAGCAGAGAGCCTGGGCTGGGGTGGGCTGAGCGATCCCCTCCTCGGGGTGGGCTGATGACCAGCCAGCAGGGCGAGGGCGCAGGTACCTGCTGGCTCCTTCCAGGATTTCCCTGGGGCTCAGCATCGAGGGGATTCATTCACCTTTAGGTCTTTGCCCCTCACAGCCGTTCCCTTTTGCAGGTCGGATCAGTTTTGGGTCTGGATGTCGCAGGTGTTCCTCCCGTACCTCTACAACAACCGCTCAGGTCAGGAGAGCCACAGCACCACGCTGGGGGCAGCCCGGCTGCGCCAGCTCCGGCTGCAGGAAGGTAGGGAGGGGACAGCAGCCCGAGGGGGGGTGGCACTGCCTGGAGGGTGAAACGGCTGGGTCTGGGTGCAGTGGGGTGCTGGGTGGAGCAAGGCAGGGGTTATGGAGGCACTTTGCTCTTTGCAGCGTGTGTATGAGGTTCTGCTGCCACCAGAGGTGAAATGAACTGGGGCAGTGATGAGGATGGAGGGGCTTGCACTGAAGGGAGAGGTTGATGGGATTTCAGGAGGTGTGGGTGAGGACACGGGGGTGGAGGGGGCTCGGGAGGAGGGGAGATGCTGAGGGTGAAGGCTCAGCTGTGTGCCCACGCTGGGTGCTGTGTGTGTGACGGTGTCGGTCTCCTTCCAGCTGAGTGCCAGCTCACTGCCCATGACTTCGTCCGTGGGCTGGGCACGGGTGCCGGGAAGAACTGCAACACCTCGCCCGGCTTCTCCACGGCTGACTATGCAGCTGGCTGGCAAAGGGCAGCCGTGAACGTGACGGCCGCGTGGTCCTACTCGCCGCCCGACCTCACCGGGTAAGGAGATGCCCAGCCCGCAGCTCTCTGTGCCTCTGCTCCACGTGCTGGGGGCGTTGGAACTCATCGGGTGTTTTGGTGCCCTGGGTGGTTCCCAGCCCTCACCTCAGTAAGATCAGCTGCAGCCCCTGAGCCCTGCAAAGGGTAAATTAAAACAAAAATGCCAGGGGCTTTTCCCAAATGCACCCATGCTGGCCGTTTGAGTGGTGGCAGGCACTTGGCTCCTGCTTTCCCTGCCCGCTCAGTCTGCCCGCAGGAGAGCACACCAGGGCTGTTCTGTCTCCAGCTCTCACCCCGTGGCTCTTCTTCCTCTGCAGGGTCTGGTACTGGGGTTACATCTCTTTCTACGATACCGGTGGCTACATCCAGGAGCTGGGGGCTTCGCTAGAGGAAAGCAGGGCTCAGCTGCGTTACCTTCAGCAGCACACCTGGATCGACAACATGTGAGTGTGGCAGGAGAGAAGGAGATGTTCTGCTGTCACCAAGATTTTTAAGGGGCACTCCTGGAGGTGTCACTGGGGAGAGAACCTAGGACCCTACGAAGTGACGGCACCACAGCCCAGGGTCGCTGTTGCCCCAGGTCCCTGAGCTGCTGTTCTTCTCTCTGCAGGAGCCGGGCGGTCTTTGTGGAGCTGATGCAGTACAACCCCAGCGTGGACCTGCACGCTGCCATCACCCTGCAGCTGGAGTTCCTGGGCGCTGGCCAGGCCGTCACCGCGCTCTCCATCAGCCCCTTCCCGCTGCTGCGGCTCAGCAGGGGCGTCACGCTGCAGCTGCTCATGATGGTCAGTGTGGTGCTTCATCCTGTGCCCCTCTCCTCTTCGGTCACTGCTCAGAGATGCTCAGGGGTCTGTCCCCAAGAAAAGCAGCACTGGTCACCGCAGACTAAAGCTCCCCCAGCTGGGCTAGGGCTGGGTGGAAGCGGAGCCCCCTTCTCTGGGCGCTGCCACCCTGCTGCACGTGCCTTGGATGGGCTTTGGGGAGCTTTGCTGCTAGGGCAAGAGGGAGCAGGACAGAGGGAGCAAGAGGATTAATAGAATTTTATAGAATATCCGGAGTTGGAAGGGACCCATAAGGGTCATCAAGTCCAACTCCTGGCTGGAAGGCATGGGAGGAGTTGAAGTGTGCTCCAGGGGTAGGCTCGCAGATCTTGGCCTAGCCCATGGGGTTTTTGCTGTCCTGGGGGGCTGCAAGGTCTCCTGGTGCAGCCTGGCAGGCAAACATTGCCCCCTCCTTCCCTGGTAACCTCTCCCCTCTTCCCCCAGGTCTTCCTCATGATGTTCGTGGTTTACTTCGTGGTGTCCGAGTCGCTTTCCATCAAGAAGGAGGGCAGGGCCTACTTCACCCTGTGGGGCAACTACGGCCAGTGGGTCTTCATCCTCCTCACCACCTGCACCGTGGTGGTGCACCTCAGCCAGGCCACCCTCGCCGACCAGCAGTGGCTCAAGTACCTCAACAACAGGAAGGGCTTCACCAACTTCTACCAGGTGGCCTTCCTCAACACCATCTTCAGCACCTTGGCTGCCTCCCTCCTCTTCCTCCTGACCGTGCAGGTACAGAGGGGGCTGGCTGGGAACAGGATGTGGTCGGGGATGTGGGCTTTGGTCAGGGATGTGGTGTTGTTTTTTTACCATCTGGGGCTGGAATCAGACCCAGGGATGTCTGCACCTCCACATTAATGACCGGACAGCCCCATGTTCTCAGCCTGTGAGCTCTGCTTTAGCCTCTGGTTGCCTGCCTGCCCATTGCAAGTTCTCGTGTGCAGTCCAAGAGCAGGCAGTGCTGTAATGCCTCTTCTCAGGGCAGGGAGAGCAAGGAAGAGGCTCTGTGGTGCTGGGCAGGTCTTGCAGCACCCTCTGCACCTGAGCCCGTGTTGTAACACCTAACACCATCCTCTCGCTTGGTCCTAGGCGGCCCAGCAGCTGCGCTTTGTCAGGCAGTGGTCTGTGTTCGGGAAGACCTTTCAGAAGTCCATGAAGGAGCTGATGGCTGCAGGGCTGGCCTTCGTGGTCCTCCTCCTGGCGTATGCACAGCTTGGCTTCCTGGTGAGTACCTGCTCCCCCCAACTCGCCTGGTGGGGGGCTGGCTGCGAGCAGGGGCTGCCCAGGGTTGTGTGACCCCCCCAGCCCTCCCCGTGCTGCAGCTGCCAGCAGAACCCTGCTGCTCTGCAGGGCTCAGACTTTGTAAGGTGGGGTAGTGCGTGTTGGGGGACATTGTGGCACCAACTGATCCCTTTTTATCTCTCCGCTGTCCCATTTGCAGCTTTTCTCCTCCTCCTCGGAGTCCTTCCGCAGCGTGGGCAGCAGCCTCCTGCTGCTCTTCGCCATGGTGCGGGGCAGCACAAACCTCCGCCCCTGCCCACCCGAGTCCTCCGGCCTCTACTACCTGTTCTGCACCAGCTACATCATCCTGGAGGTGTGGATCGTGCTGAGGCTCTTCACCGTGGTGCTTGTCTACAGCTACCGGGAGATGCACTTCGAGCTGTACCGTCCTGCCTTCGAGCCCCAGGACTACGAGATGGTGGAGCTCTTCGTGCGCAGGCTGAAAATGTGGATGGGCTTCAGCAAGGCCAAGGAGGTGAGTGCAGCCCGGGAGAGTTTGTGTGCAAGGGCTCTGGTAGCAGGCCTTAAGGTGCAGGTTTTTCAGAGAAATTATGTCGTCCATCCTCAGCCCCACTTTGCCTTCAGGTGCTTCCCAGCACTGTTCCCGGTCAGGTCCCCCAGCCCCTCTGGCTGGGAGGGGTGGAGCAGGGGCAGATCCTGGATGCCCAAGGGCTGGCTTAGTGATGGGGCACTGTAGGGTCGTGGCTATCAGGTCTCATTCCCATTATTTTAGGTGATTTTTTTTATTTGGGATCCATCCCCAGATCCCTGGGGCGCGCTGTACCACAGCCAGTTGTACCCTGTTGCCAGCTCCTGAAATAACTCCGTCTCCCCTCTTTCCCCCACCCCTTTCTCTCCCAGTTCCGCCACAAGGTGAGGTTTGAAGGCATGGAACCGCTGCCGTCCCGCGACTCCAGCGATTCCAAATCCTTTCGGGGCCCCACACCCAGCGCCGCCTCCGACAGCTCCAGGGCCTCCACTTCCTCCAGCCAGCTGGACGGGCTGAGCCTCGTGCTGAGCACCCGCGACAGCCTGGAGGTGGACGCTGACATCCAGCGGCTCCTCTCCCTCTTCGAGATGCTGCTAGCCCAATTCGACCGCGTCAACCAAGTGACGGAGGACGTGTACCGCATCGAGCACCAGCTGGAGGGCTCGCAGAGCCGCCGCTGCAGGAGGAGGTGCGCGCAGGGGGCGGAGGACGTCCTCAGCAGGTACTGTGCGGGCAACGCAGAGCGGGGACCCTCGCCCGAAATCTCCTCGGACATTGACCCGCAGCTCCCACGGGACGCCCTGCTGTCCCCCCACTCCCCCACGGCCCCGCCGGGCAGCAGGGGCTCGGTGCCCAGCCGGCTCCTTCGTGCCAGCAGAGGCGTGAGCGCGGCGGCTTCCCTGCTGCCCCCGCACAAGGCGCACGCCGCGCTGGCTCCGGCCGTGAAGAAGAAGCGGCCTCTCCGGGCCAAGAACAGGGTGCACCCGACTGTCAAGTAGCCGAGCTGCGGGAGGGCAGAGCGAGCCTTGGAAAGGGTTTGCAGAGGCAGGCTGTGCCTGCCGAGCTCACCTGGAGCATCGGGAGCTGCCGAGCACTGCGCCGTGCCGCTGCTGGCGATGGGGCTGGCGCAGCCTCCGTCCTCCACGCTCCTGGCCTCGTGGCTCAGGCGTGCTGGTGTCCTCATGGGTGGCTGCCAGCATCAAGGGTTCATAGGAAAAGGCTGAGCCTTTCCTTGTGGACAGCCGGGGAAGACGGCACGGGTTACGGTCAGCGTGCGGGGAAAAAAAAAATGATTACAGTAGGGCAGTATTAAAAAGTTGTCTCTTTCGTTAAATGGCCCCATCTTCAAGCAGATTCACAGCCTCAGGCGACTGTGATGAGGACACTTTACTGGGGCCCAGCATAGGGTGACTGGTACGAGGCTCACCGCCCCTTCCCTGCTGGCTGTGCCAGGTGGAAGGGGGAGAGGGGAGCCCCTGGCCTTGAGGGGTTGAACTGAATCTTGGATGTTGCCGACCAGACGCACTGTGGAGGAAAGCTACAGGTTTCAAGAAGATATTTAACCTTTTTTTTTTTTTTTTTTTTAAGCATAAATATATATAGATAAATATCTACACCCAGATCAGTTAATTTCCAGTATTGGCTACTTTTATCCTCCGGAAATTGGTATTATTTGTATTTAAAGAGATCCGATATTTAAAACAAAGGACATTGCAAGCGGCGAGCTGCCAGCCCTGCTGCCCGGCCAGGCTCGGAGGGGTAAGGAGCAGCAGTTTGACCCGAAAGGGCTGGAGACCTGGGGCTGCTTTCAGTCGGCGCTGAGCAGGGGGTTGCCAACGTGCTGGCTTCGCTGCGGACCCCCCATCCCCACCCCACCACCCACCAGCGCTCGCCCCCCGCGCGGCAGCCCAGGGGTGAGCGTGCTGCTGGCTGCTTGGCTTTTCTAACCCAAGGAATGTATTGACGTAAGTATATGTATTTTTTTGGTTTACTTGTTCGTATGTACTGCCCAGCACTTTAAACAATGCTTTCCTCAGCTAACAATGACACATGCGATCTAACAAGAACGGGATAATATATCACAGAAGCAGTATTTTTGTTGTTGTTGTTTAAATCATAAACTGAAATGAGCAAGTGAGGATAAACTGAACGCAGCCCCCACCCCAGCTGGCCACGGCGTTACCTCCTGGGCTCTTTGTGAAGTCCAACTGCATTTGGAGGGGACTCAAACAGAGCTTTTTAGGGGGCCAGGAGGAGGCAGAGGCCCTGTAGCCCTGCCTGGTGACTCGCAGCACGCTGGGGCTGTGCCTGTGCTTGCAGGGTTGGGGCAGCGAGCACCACGACCCCTGAAGCCTTGCCAGGGCCTGCGTTCACTTTGTCCTCACCATTTCACATGATGTATATTGTAAGTAATTTATATGTTGGTTTCTGTTTTTTTTAAATGTATATATTTTTGTATGTTTGCTATATTTTCATAGCATCGGTAACGTGTTTGAAACATGTAGATAGGAGACAGAACACTATTGTCAGAGTTATTTAAAGGATGTATTAAGTGCTTCTTCCTGGGAATGTCCCGTGTATATAAAGTATTAGGTGTCTGTGTGCATGTGGTGCGTGTGCTCTCGAGGTTTGGGCCGGGCTGGCTCAGGGCCAGTCCCCGCAGGTGGAGCAGAGCGTGGTGGGGATCCCGCAGTGCACAAGGTGGTTTTCCTGAATCTGCTCCCTGCTTTGGAGTGTAACTGAAGGGAAGCATTGAGCAGCACAAACGCTGCTGCAGGGGACAGTGTGTCTTGCCTCTGGTGCTGCTGCTCCTGGCAGCATCGTTCCTAGGACTGCCCGGACCAGGGAGGAGACCGCTGGGAGCAGTCAGACGCTTCTTGGATGCTTCCATTGGTGAGTCTCCTCCTCCAGCTCCCAGCACTTTCTGCCATGCTGTTAAATACGCGTGAAGATTTCATTCCTGGGCTTCAGCTGCCTGCCCCTGTCCCTTCTGGGTGACTGTGGGAAGATGCACGGGTGCTCTTTGTGATGGCTGTGGGACTGGTGTAAATTGCCCTTGGAAAAACTCCATTGTTATGAAGGATATGGGCTGTGGAAGGTTGCAGAAGGCTGCAGACAGGAGCAGAGGTGTGCTGTAGAATGAAGATCGCTTACAGTGAGTTGGTGGTTGGTCACCGTAAATTAGGTTGCAAGAGTAGATTTTGGAGGGAAGTAGAGTGCAGAGTGGAGAAAACTGTTAGTACCCAGAAAGCTTTCCTCAGGGAAAGGAAGAGGCAGGTTGAAGAGATGGCAGAGAAGTGCCTGGAATTGAGTAGAACAAGGGGAGAGGGGCAATGCCAGCCCTGGAGCAGCTGGGGATGGGGTTCTCACACGGGAGAGCTCCTAAGCACAACTGCACCAGAACAGCCACTTTTGGAGCTGAAGTTTAAATGGGACTGCGCATTTCCTTCCTGCTGCAGTGGAATAATGGCTGTGTATACAGCCACCCCTAAGGGCTGTGCCCCCTTCCCCTTGGTTAGAGGTGCCTGCTCGCTGTGGTCAGTGCCACAGCAGCGTGGGACAGGGACGGGGCTGTCAGTGCCAGCCTGGGAGCCAGGGGGACTGGGTGCTGAGTGACCAAACCAAGCAGGTCTTGGAAGGCTCTGGGGCCTGGCATCATCAAAAGCCCTTTTCCCCACCCACCTCCCAAAAAAAGAAGCAGTTCAGAGCTCAGATCCTTCCCCCTGACTCCCAGCTTAGGTATGTTCATTGAAATAGAAGTTGTTACTAAAGTACAGGTAGGAGAGAGGGAGGCAAGAGGCAGCAGTGAGCAGGGACCCGAGTGCTCAGAACAGCCTTCAATAAGCTAAATGTGCGGGCTGGACAAGGATGCTCCCCAGTGAAGCATCGGGATTCTTGGTCCCAAGTGTCTGTTCCTTACCAAGCTTGCTTTGTGTGTGTGTGTGAGTGTGAGGTGATGCACGTGACTTACCAAGTGCTTCTTCTAATCAAAGAGGAGCAGAAACAGGCCAAGACAACTGTCCTACTTCTTACCTTAACTTGAAGTACGGAGAGCAGCTCTGGAACCCACACAGTTGTTTCTTGAAAAGTCAGACACCTCAGTGAGGGCCCACGTGCTTGGTGGGCACCACGGACAGCTTTCAAGCAATCATAGTTCTCATTGCAGCATTTATTTGTACAAGCTATAGCAATACTCACAGGGTTCCTTCACTGTCACAGCTAAGGTTCCACGTATACAATGCACTTAGCTGCAGCCAGAGTTACTAGTCATGGAGTTATACTGTCAGCAGCAATGAACTTGACTTACAGCCCTAACCACCAGGTACTCCTGAATGTATATTTCTGTGTTTGTAATCACCCAGAGATGGTTTCTTATTTATTGTCTTAAGTCTCATACAGATGTAACAGTATCAAGCTGCTTAAATAAAATAAAAAAACTATCCACTAGTTTAAAAGGAAGAGGGAAGGACCTCTATATAAATGCTTTTTTTTTTTTTTTTTTTTTTAAACATGATTGTGATCAATATGCCAATTTTAACTGTCTGGTCAGCATTTCACTGCAAACAAAAATACCGTATTTTGTAACTGTGGGGATGTTTCTTAAAAAAATGACAAGGTCAAATAAAAGATGACTGCTACAACCTGGCTCCAGTACTTTTGTTGCACTCACTCCAGCCCTCAGCCAGGCACTGAGCTGCTCACCACTACCAGCAGGAGATCAGGAAAGGTGCAGGGGCACAGCAGCACTCAGCAGAGCCTGTCCAGCTGCCTGTCCAGACATTCCTATCCGCCCCATTTGTTCTTTTTGTCTGTGACCAGAATTTTAATTGAGGTTTCCTGCACAATATGCGAGACTTTCTTACATCAATGAACCAATTAGGGATGCTTTGGTCTGTAATTAACTGCATCAGCCTGCTAGTGAGGAATCTGCCATCACCACAAAGGCAAATTACCCATGACATTATCATCAGACATGGTTCGAGTCTTCCCAGGTCAGCAAGAACCCACTGACCATACAAATACTTTATTTCCTCTAGGACATATTTACTTATAAACACTCAAAACACAACATACACTTAGAGTTCCCAAACAGCCCTGCATCACTTTGCATCAATTAATAGCATTTCATACATTGTCCTCTTGCCAGTCACTTCACAGTACCATGTGCTGATTGCACTTGTATTCAGCTCCACTGCAAAGGCTCTGCAGTTCCCCCTCATCAAAAAGCCACACTTCCATTCAGTCACAAAGCAGGAGATTAAAGTACTCACAGTATAGGCCAGCTTACGCGGTGTCTCCCAGTTAGTAGTGTAGTGTCTGATGACCATCTTACAACAAGATGGGCTACATAATCCCATTCCACCTGTGCATGCTTGCACTGAAAGGACAGCTTGTTAATTACAACAGCCAAGGTCCCAGGAGGAGAGCCTGGCATTAGGCGTTAGTGCAAGAGGCAAAACTCATTCAGAGCTGATGCCACCAGGACAAGTCAACAGTCTTTCAAATGGGGTTTTACTGACTGCACAGAGAGGGATGAGTTATCCCCAGCACTGCTGCAGTTAGTAGAAATCCTGCAGCTGAACCTCGAAACCACATCTGGCCTCTGGGCTAAAACCCTTGCAGCCAGCCCCAGTGGGTGAAACTGTTCTGCCCAAAGGTTCGTGCCCCAGCTCTTTGCCATTCTGCTGCTTCACCAAGTGACACTCACCTCCCTGCTTTGCGTTACTTCTGGCAGCAAAAACATTTCTCCTGGGCTGAGGGAGGGTTCACTGCGAGTCTTTCAAAATGGAGACACGTTCTTGGGAATTTAAGCAGCATATTCGGCTTAACCTTTACCAGAGCTGGCAGCAGAGCAAGTCTCAGATGCTGTAGAGTTCAAGTCCCGAGAGTCAATGAGACCTGGAGAGAAGCAAAGATTCCGAGTTGCTTAGAAATGGTGACTGGGTTTCCAGTACTCTGTATTTAATTCCCAATAAAGGTGTCAAAATTCCTACAATTCATGCCTCTTCCACTCTGTGATGAAGTGCAGAGGATCACACTTTGTCTGCTCCCACCAGACACTGGTGTTGAAGGAGTCTAGAGAAAGGTTCTGCAAGAAAGTTCCCATCAGAGATGGAAGCCCTGGAATAGCTCAAACCAAATAAAAACAAAATGTGGAGTTGGTCCTCTCTTGGAGCATCTGCTGGGGATACACAGTATCTTCATCAGACCACAGCGGCAGGCTGAGACAGTGAAACATACTTGAACCTCCTGATAAAGTTCAGTGCTGAATCCACAAGAAAGCAGCACAGCCACACTGTATTTGCCGAACCCTTCTCCTCCACGTCTAGGCAGCTGCACAGTCAGCATGCAGGTGAAACGCATTCACTGCCTCGTCCATCCCAGGACACACCAACCCAGTGGGATCTACACAAATTCGGTGAAGTCATCCACCGAGGAGATCAGCCGCTTCCTCTGACCAGTCTCGTAGGTTGGTGGAGGATCCTGAGGTATCTGGGGAGGGGGCTTTGTCGGAGCAGATGAATGCATTTGCAGGGGAAGGCCAGGAGTTTGGTACTGGGTTTCTTCACGTAGCTGAAAGTCAAATGAGAACAGATGAGCTCTGTATTCTCTGAAATTCTTTTCATTCTCCATTTAGCCAGGGCAGGACAGGTTACTCGGTACAGCTTTTTCTGCAATCCCTATTACAGTGTCAAGTACAGGCAGCTCTGTGTCTAGATATTGGGGTCCCAATGCACTTATCACAAGGGAAGATGCAAATCCAGACCTACATCACTCCACTTACCATTCCCACAAGAGCTGGATTTTAACCTTTATATACACATTATTTCTCTTATTCAGTAAGTTTTGACAGCTGATTTCATTTGCCTTATTTATAATAACACAGTGAGGCAGAGCCCAGCTCTAAACACCAAGAACAAATGTGTTTACTCACCCGGTGCCTTAGTCTCTTGATGTGACGCAGCCGAGCAATCCATTTGGATGGGTAGGTGTCAGTAGGGTTTGATCGACTATGGTGAACCTGGGAAGCCATCTGATTTGGGAAGGATGGGGAAAAGGAGGGAAAGAAGATAGATGCACATTAAGATAACCATGCCAATAACGATAATAGAACATTTCAGTACTGTCTGACTGCGATTGAAATGTAAGCTCATGTAGTAATTGACTCAAAGGTTGGAAGAAATAACTGAGGCAGAACGCTTATTTGTTTTAGCAAGTCCTACTCACCACATACTTTCCTTGGTAGCTGGTGAAAGACCAACAAGCCTGTTGAAGGACAAAGTCTCAGGGAGCACAGGGGTACTCACATTAGCATGCAGGGCCATCTGACGGGCTACGAATGGCAGGTTCTTGTCAGAGATGATCTTAGCGACACTTGTGTCTACAAGGCCCTCCATGTCTTCATTTTTTAAAGAAAGAAGAAAAGTTCTTGTCAGACAGTTAAGAAAAAGTACAAGACAAAAGTTGCCAGTAACCAAATGGACAAGTAATGTAAACCTGAAGAACTGTTTCACAGAATCTCAGGAGCTCCCATCAAACACTACAGCTCCAGCTTTAACTGACAGAGTTTAGACCACAACTTAACTCAACTGGCTCTCAAATCCTGGCTGCTCTGTAAACATTTGAGGGGAACCTGCTGAGCTCATTATTATACGAACTGAAATGGAACAAAAATACCCCAGAAGTGCTCATTTGGTAAAAGGAAAGCAAATGCCCCTGCAGGTAACTGCACGAGCACTGCAGGACTCAGCATGGAACCCCAAGGATCAGGACCTGCAGCACTGGGAAGGACACTGGCAGCCAACAGCTGCAGGGGTCTCCACCTCCCAACTCTTGCAGCATTCCCACACAGTGCTTGGAGGGATCTGCTCTACTCTGTGATCTTTATCTTAAGCTTGAAGATGATACAAGTGATGCAGTGGAAAGATGTCAAAAATAGGGTACGATACATAAATAGGACGTATACAGATGTCACTGGGCAGCAAATTGTTTTTGGAGAGTTTCTCTTGGAAGCTTTTACTTTTGGAATGCAAAAATACTGCAAAGTGATGTCAATTATTGCGCCACCAACAATAAAGAAAAGACTGAGAACGAATGCTGGAGGGATTCCTACCTTTTCGACACTGCAGCGTCACCAGATTACAGTCATAGTCAAGCGGCGTTATGATAACATGCACAAAATTGAACTGACCCTAACGGGAAAACAATACAACAGTCAAATACGTTTTACTGGCATCCAATGTGACTCTGGTGAATGCTATACACTATCATGTGTGAATCCAGTTGAGGCAAATAAACTCCACTCATGATCTCAACACTGTTTACCAAGATAACGCACATCAGATTAAGGTTTTACAAACAGCCAAATGCCTGTTTTATAATATGCCTGCAAGTAAAATCTTGTACCTTTATTGTTCCCAGTTTAAAGTCCTCTCCAGAATCATTGTAAACAATAGAAACAAAGTCATTCCCAAGGTGCCTTTTCTTGTCACAGCGATATTTATCCAAATCCTTTGTGGGCATGAGAGTAGCGATGTGGAAAATGGCTGAAGAGGAAACAGAAGGACCCTTAGGCTGAGCTAGGAAAACAACGCTGCAAGCAATGGTCAATATGCAGCGTTTGTCTGCAAGACGTAGTACCAGCACCACCGTAATGAACAAATACATTGTGCTCCCTCAATAGGTTTGTCCCCGTTTGTGACAGCTGAATCCAGTCCTTCTGGATGGAGCACAGTGGGCAGCTCTTTGCCAGTGAAAGGGTGGCCTCTGAAAGCTCTGCAGCTGCCAGTTCCTAGGTGCTGTCTGTCATGGTCCTCCCTAGCACCACACTTAGAAAAGTGAATTACAGGTCTGGTTTACAGCATGATGTACACTGGAATAAGCATTCCCATCAAGCTGGGGTCGTTAGCTCTCTGTTCACAGAAAACGAACAGGGGACTGGGCACGTGCTTCTGGCTAATTTTTTCCATGTCACTGTAGCATGGTGAGCAGAAACTGGTTTGAGGAAGAACAGTTAAATACCTTAAACCAGGACTTTCCCTAGCTGAACTCTGCAGAGCACCAAGGACCCTGGTGAGTAACGTGCAGCTGCTCCACTGAACTGGACAAAGCCTGATGACTGGGATCCACAGAGCTGCATGGAAACATCTGGGAAGTTCCTCACATGGCTTGCTGGATCCTGGTTGGTATCTGCACTGCTTAGTAGTGTGGGAGCTGGGTAATGCTGTATTTCAAAAAGTAATGACCACAGTAACAACAACCCTCCTGCTTTCAATGCTGCTCTTCATAGAAACCACTAGCAGAGTTTTGACATGCACATACTGTCCTCAGTTAACAGCCTTCAAAGCAGCTCAGGACCAAGCAGCTTATTCTACAAACCTCTACACAAATCCCTATCAATCTTTCATAGCACAGATTATTTTAGAAGTGGTATGATTTTTCTTGAAGAAGGCAGGTATGCACCTCTCCCTTCCTTGGCTTGCAGAGACATCAGACAGAATGGAGGGAGAACATAGCCCCAGGCCATCCTTACTACACTCGCAAAAAGGAAGCTTGTAGAAAGCAGCTCAGTCTTAAAATAAGAAGAAACCATCCTTCCACTTCTAACTTCTGGAGACATCTTACCTTGCATAATGTC